AAAAACAAAAAGCGGAAGAAATTCGATCAATACAAACAGTATGGATGAAGAGTGTCAAATACGGAGATTGTCTATTTTGTCCGTAATATCCTTCTTTTTTGGTCATACACGAGATTACTCTCTATTCTCCGATCGAATAGAGGAAATCTTCCTATTACCGTTCCTATGACGACAAAATGGAAAGGACGTTCGATCGTTAAATGCGCGACGACGACGGAAGAATCCTTAATCTTTGCGGACTCAAAAGCACAGCGCACATATAGGGATTTCTCAAAAAAGATTTCTCTCTAGACTTCCCACGACCGTGTGATAACCGCGGTTAAGCGAAAAGTTAATCGACCGAAAAATCCAGGATATTTTGTCATTTAAATTTTAAATAATATTCCGTACTTTACGCGACATTTGACACAGGAAGCACGTAGAGATTGCTACTAAAAATACACGGGTGTTGCGCAAGGATCGTAATTTGAATTTCACACAGTGCTGTGTGTTATCGGTCGATTATCGTCCTCTATGGAAGAGAATCACCCGGTGGAAAATTAATCCGCGCTAGTTTATCGAGAAATCGCGATTAATTGCTTCAGCGGAGTGCAAGAAAATTTAGTAATTAAGACGTATGTTTTTTGAAGTTGCGTATATAAACATCTCGTCGAGTACGGGACGTAAACAAGAATAGAACGTGACGTTTCCAAGCACAACATATGTCCGATACCATTATATTTGATTGAAAAGATCCGACATTTATTCCACATGATAATATCCGATCGTATATGCGTGGCAAATTATTTCGCAGTATCTCACATGTATAGAAATATTTTTAATTTTTAACGCACACACACACATATATTCTCCTTCACTCACTCGCTCGCTCGCTCGCTCATACTGTCCCCCTGTTTCGTGTGTGTTTAAAAATGACAATGACGAAGTATACTAATAATAACTCATTAATAAATCATTATCTCACGTGTATAAGAAACTTACACAATGATGCCATATTGCGGCTTATGTGCTTATAAACGCAAGTAGAACTGTTACTTACTGCCATATTACTCGGGTAATGTGTACCAAAACTTAGTCCACCCAATTATTCGCTCCACCGAATATACGTAGGCGGTAATGCATAAAGTTACCTTGTTGCTTAAGTTATGCATTGTATGCGCTCTGTTACAGAGTTGAGAAAGTTGTCGAAAGTTTTCAAAAATTCCCGCTAATAACGCGGCTAATAGTCTTTGGCGAGAAAAAAATAATTTTCTTGTTATCGACAGTTACAATTAGTCACAAAGTCGATCGAGCAGCGCAAACAAATCGTGAAATTTCAACTTTGTCGGGAGGTGCTTTTGACAGATGCTGCGAAAAAAAAAATGGGTTGTGTGAACACAAGCGTAACAATCATCGCTGGCGTGTTCGCAGATAATGCGCAATGTTGCGCATCATATAATTTATATGCATATTCGTCTGTTCGCAATACGGCGCCACGCAATCGTTTCCGCTTCGATTCAGTCACGCGATTGGAAGCCAGCCCAAGAAATATCCTAACATCAAAGAAGACGGTTCCGCTGTTTCGTGCTGTTTCCTAAATTGCCGCCGCGTCGTTCAGCGCAGAGTAAAAATTTAACCACCTGAAGCATTAAAAGCCTCGAAGTCCCGGCTCGGTTTCTACAGGTGGTGGAACGAAGGAAACTTTGTCGGAATCGTACAGGAAATATCAGCGACTAAAAATTTAGACGACCGACTTCGAGCCGAACACATGCCGATTTTCGTATTGCGTAGCACTGTATTTGTGAAACAAACACACCCAATCCTCTTTCGACGTGTAACGTTAATTTTGAGTTTGTTTTGTTGAAAAGATGATCGAAATTCGATGATCGAGACGCATGTTTCCACATTTGCCTACGTTATTACTTAATATATTATTACACGCACATGCGCAACACATCACATTCAAATGTGACGGTATTTTAGCGTGCATTGAATCTCGAAATTTTTAATTTATTTATGAGTGAGTTAATATTTTTTCATTACTATATAATCTAATTTTTTAATTTTTTAACAATTTACAATTCTTTGTTTCTTACATAGTTTTATTTTCATAACATAATATTTGTTTTGACAACATTTTTGATACATATCCGCTTTCTGACCTTAACAGGATTGGAACTGTCCAACGAACTAATTTGCGAACGTAATTGTAAGTAATGAACTCATAAAAAAAAACTTATTAAAAAATCTAGTTTTGTACGCTAACTTTGTTACATACATTTTTAGATTTTTACTGAATACTCTTTTGCGTAACGTAGTCTCACATTGAAAAAAACTACTACTATATACCTATGATCGAAACGTTTGTCACAATATATACACATAAAATGAAAGAATCACACACACACACACACACAGTCATCCGTGTTCATATTGGCTTGCCTACGTTCTCAATTTTGAGGAATCGAAATTCTTACACATACATAGGCAATCGTGAGATCGTGTGCAATTTTACTTCAAACTCGTGACAAAAAAAAAAAAACCGATAGCTGGTGCGGCAACATGCGTCGATTGAAAGAGGTGCAAACAAACAAAGAGGAGCAGGTCGCGGATGAGACGGAAACAAGCAACGGACGAGGGAAGGAGGGGGGCGGCGAGCTGTCCCATCGTGCCGGGAAATCAAAGCACGAAGGACAAGGCGAGGGAAAACTCTTCTCGTTCCCATCCCTCGCGGCCTCCCGCCGGGAACTCTTTGGCTCGCGTGCATAACGCGCGGCATGAATTAAACATACGCTGTTCGCGATTCAGGCAACGGAGGTTAAGGCGAATGCCGAGAGGCGTCGTGGCAAGGAGATGAGATGTGGAATGAAAAGACGTCCCGGTGAAATTGGAGTCGAGCGGGAAGAAAGGCGGAAGAATGCGTATGATACATAGCTTATGTGTGCATATGTTTCTCCGAGGGCCTCGGGCGTTGCGAAACCGTCGGGGTTTACTATATATACTCGCGAATATAGAATCTCTCACACACACACACACAGCCTGTCGAAATTATTCAATTAAATTGCACATTTATATACGGTAGAAGCAGGAAAACAATTATAACAGGTTCTATATAATATGCGTGCAAGAGGAAAGGATTTCAATGCCTCTCGTCATTGAAAACGTTCATCATCTCTCGATTCGGTTTCCATGATCTATATTTACTTGTGAAACGACTACGTGAGGGCGCGTATCTCTATATAGATGCGGCATCGATGTCGATTATTAGTTTATTCGCAGCAACGTCCATTTCTAATCGCGAGAGACTCTGCCCAACGACTGGAAAGACAATAGCCCGAGTATATGAGACCTATCCGGAAACTTGGCTCCAACATCGAACGCGCTGTAAGAGGGGAAACTTGAAACTCACCCCCCGTGAGCGATTGCATCCGCGACGACCTCGGTCCTCACCCCGCTCGCCTTCGAGTCGTTCCCGGCGTGCGCTCGTTCGCCCTCGGCTATCTCCGCCGACGATCGGTCGCAACCCTCTCCACGTACGGGATGACCGGGGAAGCAGGCAGCGGCGGGTGAGGGCGCGGTCGAATGCGGGGGAGAGCGAGCGGTTTTACGCGAGGAAGACGTATCTGTGACTTCGGTATGACCGTGTCAGAGCATACGAGATACAATCGGGTTTTCCTTGAGAGCGCGCAGAGAAGAGTAACAAAAAAGAGAGAAAGAGACCAGAGAAACGCGCAAACACATACAATCTGCGTATACTCTGTTTCTCTTTGCTTGTACACAAACGCGTGTACGTGTGGAATACGCGCTCTCGTATACAGAGTCGACAGTCGTAACCCTTCTCGGAGAAGAAAGGGAATTGAATACGGCACGACGGAATACGCGCATAATCCTTTATGCGCACGTAGAGATGTACATAGACATCCATATAATTCCCGCATATGTATGTTCCGAGTGGATTAGTAATGGGACCCGGTGCACTACCACGCGTTTCCGATCGCTCTCCCTTCCCACCGCCACTTGGATTAGATCCCTCTCGCTCGAACTGTTCCTCTCGCGTTCCTCTCCTCTCTTTCGTGCGCATGTTTCCCGCGCTGCCTCTCAGTCACCACCGTCCTTCGTCCATCCGCTGCCGCGCTCTAACTCCGTCGCGCAAACGCCTTGCTCGCGTTTCTCCCCCACTATCCGCTGTTCCGTCTCTCTCGCGCGCGTTCTCTCACATCCTCTCCTCTCGCTTCTCTTACCCCCGCGGAAATATGCCGGCGTAGCAGCGGCGGCGGCGGCGGCGGCGGCGGCGGCGGTGGTGGTAGAGGTGGTGATGGTGGCGGCGGCGACGATAACAGCGGTGCTGCTGCTGCTGCTGGTGTGTGCGCGCGCGGCGCTGCCTTAACAGCGTATCGGTGTGCGGACGGTGGTTTTAGACTCGAAGCTGCGGAAGAAGGGCCGCGAGCTCGGCCGTATTCCGATGGCCTGATACACACTGCGGGACGCGTTCATGAAGCTCCACTGCCTTGACTCGTCGAGTGAGTAGTAGAGTTTTGTGACATATTATTGTTCGCGGTCGCGCATTTTCCCGTACGGCGGCGGGAGGTGAAAGCAAAGGGAAGGTACGGGGGAGGGAAATCTTCGCGGACGTGCCGTGTGTCGTACCCTGTTGTGCATCATTTTTTCCCTCCTCTCTTTATGTTTTTTGCCCTCCTTTCTATTCCCTACTCGCGCTCCCTTTCTCTCTATGATACAACATGGTTGTTGTCGCGGAAAGAGATAGAGAGACAGAGAGTGTATTCTTCTTTGCGTAAACATTCGCGCGAATTATTATTCTGGTGAACCGACGAACACGGTGGTGGATCGACCACGATGACGACGAGCGAATTTGTGTTCGCGAGAACGATCGACTACCGGCGACGCGACACCGCTACCAGGGAACGTCATGCTCCGAACGTCGTCCCTCCGTGACGGCCGTTAAATCGGCGTGGGTCGATCGAGAGAGAGAGAGAGAGAGAGAGAGAGAGAGAGAGCGAGCGAGCCGGGGAGAGTAGGGGGAGGAAGAGGCGATTTTTAGCCGGCGAAGGGAACAGCGGGAGAGAGAGCGCTTCCTTCTCGAGGTCGATTAACAGCTGGCCCGAGGGACGCGAGTCGATTTCTTCGGCGTGGCCGTCGTCGTACCTCAAGCCGTGAGTGCTGAGGCGCAGTAAATATCGACCACGGGAGAGTGGAGGCTTAGGCGATGCTAAAAAGTGGACCATTCGATCGGGCCACGTCACATCTCCTAGCGCTCCCGGCATCGAAAAGGCGCGAGATGCACTACGATTGCGAGTGTACATGTGTACATTTTCTCTACGGGGGAGGGGGTGGCTCGTGCGCTTCCGAATATTAGCGCGCGAAACGCTTTGTCAAGTTTGCGTTTCTTCGCGACACGGAGTCTACGCGCTGAAGAGAGTCTCTCTCTCTCTCTCTCTCCCCGCTATAGTACAATAGACATCCCTCGGCGAGGTAGACAAACGCGATGTTTCGCGGTGCGATCGATCTTTCGAATTCCGTCCGAAGAATGCTAAGCGCAGTTTTCGGAATCGAAAAAATACGGATACGTCTTTTATCTATATAGCAGTCGCGCGTTGTCACCGAGTCGTAGTATCTCGTGGTGTCAGTAAAAATACGCGATATCACAATTCTCTGTGTAGTTCCCGTCGCGAATCGTATCGATAGTTCTAGTGTACGTAGCGATAGAAAATGTCTGTTTTTTATTACGTTTGTTATTTCGCGCGCGATTTTTATTACTTCTCGATGAATGACAAACAATTTCGGAATTGTTGATACGATAAACGCGACGATGCGTTTTTATCAGTGCCACGCACAACGCACAGTGACAGTGTAAAGTGTGATCGTGTTTACACGGCCTCCCCTCCGTCCCACGTTAAATTTATCTCGGATGTTCATTGTTGTAACAGAGTTATATTATAACATGTTAAGGTACGTCTTAATATATATCTCAATAAGAGCTTTTATGATAATTACTTCTGAGAGAAGCGTTTTTTTTTTTTTTTTTTTTTTTTTAATCGAGCATAAACAGACGCTCTCGGCGTAATATTCAATATTGTTACAGTACATGGCAAACGCAATTGTGCAATTCATTTTTAGAAACGTATGCGCGTTAAATATATATAAAAAAAAACGTGCAGATAATAATTTCAAACATATTCTGTCGGTTTTGTGTATGTATGTGTTTTTTTTTTTTTTTTTTTTTACCTCAAGTCATCGACTTTTCATTGTATAGACTTCCTCGCATGCTCTGAATATATTACGCATTCATATTGTGTGTATGCTTTACATTCCCGGAAATCTAATGTTAACAAGTACGAACAACTCATTTAATTGACATTGCGAGCAAGTGACATCTAATCGCCACCGGGAGATTTTCAATTCATTTTCGGAGCGGGGGTATATATCTTATGTATCTTATACTATCAAATCAGATTGGTAGTATCGATATCGATAACGTCCGCACAACAATGATAATTGGAATTCCCGTTATCGCGCGCAATATCGATGCGTCCGTTTTGGAATCCACTTGTCCCTTGCGTGACTTTTCAAGGGCTTGATGATTCATGGTCGATTAAGCACAACGCCGTTTATTAAGGGATGGTTGGCAATCGAATTTTACGTCTGATTGATTGCGCGATTTTAACGTTACAAAATACCACAAGTAATCATCACTGATATTCGATCTAAAATTAAACTTGGAACAGATGGAAAAAAAAAAAAAAAAAAATTAAAAAATTAAAAAACACCCAAAAAGGCGTAAATATGAAACACATTTATAAAAAGTTATATAACGATATTAAGAAGGATAAAATGATTAAACTTTTCGCGGCTTGTCAAGGTTACATCTTCGTGTTCATTAGATATCTCTCTTCTTTCGCATGAGCGATTCTCCAGAGTATTCCCACGCATTTCACCCCTCAAGACATCCGCGTCACTTAAAAAAAAAAAAAAAAAAAGAAGAGTAGCAACTCTGCTGAATTTGCTCTCAATCTCTCTTCGATGATTGTTTACTCCTAAATATGTGGTGCTGTGCAAGCAGCGGGAGATGCAGATAAAAGCGTTAGAAAATTATGATCGCGAAAAATACACTGTGGCTTGAAACTAAATTATGTTCAATTTTTCAGTCGTATTTTTTCAAAGTACGTTGATTATTTTCTCTATTTAATGCGATGGACATAAGAGGATGTAAAACTTCAATTAAAATTTCAATTTCTCACAGCTATTGTTCCATGAGATGAGCTCTTTGAGCTGAATCCTGATTGGGACCGTTTTATTTATCGTCACAGTATGACGCAGCGAACGTCCGAAGGACGTAAAAGTATAAAACCACGTCGTCTTCGCGGAACCGCTCCTTTAATCAATTCAGGGGAACTATTTCGGGGTAATGTTCGCGCGCTTCGGGGTTGATTCGTCCCTCGAATAAATCTGACCGATTACATTAGGGATTTGTGAAAACACACGGAAATGTGTGTGTTTATTTTTATTTGTCTCGTTTGTTGTCACACTACAATCTGCCGAGATTACACGGGTGAACGTGTTTCGGAATTACATTACGTGCCAATAATACGTAATAATTCCGATCCCATTTGACGATTCAACAAACGGATAATCCGACAATTTGATTTTCTCCCTCAACCCTCGATGATCATTTTCGCGGATTCACATTGCCGAATATAGCAACGTATCGAAGAATTTGAAATTTCGAAGTTCTCGAATATATCCATGAACCCAAATTCCGAGAAATTCAAGAAAACCTCTAACGTTATCTTTTCTCTCTCTTTCTCTCTTATAATCGAAAATAGAATTAATGCTATGCACGTTTTTTCCTGTGTTTGCCGATTGTCCAGCGAATGGGAACCAAGGAAACTCGTTATCGGTCCGACAAAGCTTCTCAAGAAATGAGCCCGTCCGAGGGAATTTCCGTGAGAGAGTTAATCCCATAGAAAGGCGAGCTTAGTGTCGCTTCCCTCGGATTTTTATGACGGCCATGATTTCTCCTCGCTGATATCACTTATTCGAGCTTTTCTTGGAATTGCTTCGAACGATGATTTGTCCGGATTTTCTTGGCGCGAATTGCATTGCTTTCGATTTGCACATCGAGATATACAATAGCGATCGTGTTTGTGTGTGTGTGTGTGTCCCGGATTCGGAAAAGCTCAGGGGAACCCGTAAATAACCCAGGTGATTTATTCAAAACTTCGATTGCCTGAGCTGCGTCGAAAAAAACGACGAGAAGAGCGCGCAAAGAGCGAACAAGATACAAAGCAAGTTTTGTTATTCTACGCGAAAGATGAAAAGACCTCCGAGACTCGTAGACTAAATTGCGCTCGATCGTTGAGATGTGGGAAAGGATAAACCAACATTTTCTCGCGAATCAGAATAGGGATTTACAAGTAATCATACACATACGCGCACACTACTGTAATTTTGAAAATGTGAGAGCAATGGTTCATCGCGGACTGTAAATATAAAAGTCACATAAAAGTCATATAAAAGTCATATGAAAAAAATATATGTGACGATTAAAAAAATATAAAAATAATTCGTTTTTTTTTCTCTGGCGGTATTGAAATCTCTGATGTGAAACAACAAGCTCGTTTAATCTAACGGAAAGATTATTAATTGCGTTTGAATAACGTGAAATAACACCGGTCATTATATAATTGAAAATGAACGAAAATCTAAATCGAAGATTTGTGACACAATGAAGTTGTCGAGAGACAACTACGTCGCTTTGTTTACACGGGGTACACAATCCCACGTAGCCCGTATTATTCGTCCGATAGATAACTAACAAGTGGCTAATTGGATTTCGTATTTGATATCAATTATCGATGATACAAAATAATTTTCATTAATTTAAAACAAAAAAAGGCAAACAAATATTCTTGAAACAGACATGGGAATTGCTCTGTAAATACGTTTTTTTTTTTTTTACAAATGAAACCCCTGATTATAATAAATATGATACAGTTCGGACTCTCACAAAGGAACGTCGTTAAACTCGGAAATTTATGATTTTAAGCTTCGTACACGTGTATAAAATAATACAAATGAGAATTTTTTTAATTTTTATACATTTATCCGATCTGCAGATACGGTTGTGTGCAAAAGTTTCATTAAAAATCAGAATTTTCCGATTCGCGCGACGAGAGGGGGGTTCTCTCATCAGAACGCAAATAACCGCCTATCGCGTAATAACGCGTAATACGAACACTTTAGCGGCGAAATGAGGAAAAAGAGAGACCGTTGAAATCCCAACTGGCAGCGACGAGGGTTAACGATACGCGCGACGAGAGACACTCTCCTTCTCCCGCGCGCTTAATTGATTTCCCCTCTATCTCCCAACCCTCTCGCTGAAGACTCGTCTGTAATTGAGCAAGGCATTAATAACTTGCCGTATTGAATAATTCGTAGAAACGTACGTTCCCGAAAAGTCTCGGGACGTGCTTGAGAGAACTTATCGATTTCATATTAGCGTGTAAATCGACAGATGGAGGAAGAGCGCTTAAGCAGCGACGATGCGGAGGTACACCATGATGATTCTGCCCACGCATCTGCTCTTGTCCTCATATCATTTAGGGATTAATTTTTTTTTTGTCCTCCTTTCCTATTATCATCCGTTTCATATCAAGTGTTTTTCACTCGGTATCTTCTAATCGTATCACCTCCCTTCTTTTTTCCTTCCCTCTATAAATAATATCTCTCCCTTCTTCCTTATCGAAGTGCACCTACTCGGAAATATTGTCGTCACAGATTTTTCGTTCACGACTCCTCGGAGATATCCTCGGCTATCTCGTGATTTCTTCTTTTACGAAATCCAATTTCAACTTTCGGAAGTTTACAAGGAAACAGAGAAGTAAAGATTGTTTGTAACAACACCGTTACAGAACGAGTCGAGTTAATATTATTTGTTTCGTCGAAAACTAAGATTCGATGACACGTTAACAAAATAAAGAAAAAAAAAAAACTAGAAGAAGCGCGACTTGAAGTTTGACCGATTTTTTTTTACTCTAGGACTAGGTCATATATACACATATTGGTTTAGTAAAGTATATGCAACCAGATAACTATCTTCTTCCTTTTTTTTCTCTCTCTCTCTCTCTCTGTCTTTTTCTCTCTCATTCTTCTTCGTCTGTTACGTGTTTTTTCTTTGACTAGATATTATCCTATTATTGCCAGTCGAATAGGTCCGGGTTCATTAACCCGAGATACATCAATCGCGGCTTTATATAAATGCCCGATTTAACCTGATCGTGCATGCATGAAACCGTTCTTCATTTTCAGACTCCCAGCACTCGTTTTCCCATCTATGCATGGCGCCGCGACCTTGATGGCGATTTGCACTGACCTTGCGTTTTGTTCGAGATATCGGTCGGTCGGTAACAGCGATGCTTTTGCCATCATAGCGTCACTTTTAACGGCAGAACTTTGATTCCGCTACGTTCTCCCGCGAGCCATTCATTGCGTTCCATTGTGAAAACTTTCGGAACAATCTGCCGCGCTTTTAGCGCTAAATGCGCGAACCGGCCAACATTTTTCCTGAAAGTCTTGCAAAAGACTTTTTTCTCTTCTTTTTCTCCGTTTCTTTCTCGATAGTCTCACTCGGTCTGTATAGTCTTTCGTACAACGTGTCCAACATAAAGTCCAGATTGTATCTTATCTCATGAGTTTTCCGATATTCGTCCGGGTCCGGAAAACGTTCTCGTACGAGAAGCATTGTGAGGGATTTTTATTCGCCAGTTCCAACCCCCGTAGCGAAGAAATTCCCCGGATAATAAAGTAAATCTTCATCTACACAACTCTCGAAACATTGTGCGCAAGGATTACTTGAATGGGCAGTGTTTATAGCGTGTTTCGCGGCGACGCGTTTTGCCGTTTCGCGTTGACAGTGTCGTTTATTACCGTCCCAGTTTGTTTGCACGGAATGGCGGAAGTGTCGAGGGGAGGGCGGAAGTGTAATGTATCAGTGTCCGCGTCTCTCTTTTATTCGGACTAAATGATCTCTTCAGAGATGAAATGTTTTTTATCCTTTCTATAAACTTTGCAATGTTTTATATATATATATATATATATATACACGTATATATACTTGAATTGCGGCAGGTAGAGAGCAATTGATGCTCGCGATGTGTTAAAATGTGTGTATCATTCGATTTATTTCCATAGTTTCTTATTACTTACCGCCATATATCGTTCAGTAAATTGCTCAATGCTTGTCGATCAATCAGTGCCAATGACATTTGGCGAGCACCTTTTCACCGATAGCGGCTGTAAAAATAGCCTATATAAACACGCCTGAATATACGTTGAATAAACGCTTCTGTTTCTGCTAGTTGAACGTTCGATATTTTTGTCCGGTTTTCTTAATCCGATTGCCTTCATAAATAATGAGAGTGAAGATACGCTCTCTGTTGGTTTATTTATTAATTGAGAACAATTGAGCGTAATTCCAGCATATTTGCAAAAAAAAAAAAAAAAAAAAAACTTCTTGGCTGTGTGAGTTAGGTGTAAGTTTTCACGTGTTGCAAACACGAGAAGCATAAAAGTTAAATGGAGGGATGAAGTCACTTTTTTCTCTCGTAGCAATGAACGTATAAAGACTCAAGTTCGAAATTCTACTTACAAGGACAACCCGCTCATTGCCAGTCAGATTGAGATCTCAGTGAGATTGAGCAAACAATTTTAAATCCTCAATCCTTTTTTGCGCGCAATAAAATAAAACGGTTGTCGCGCGAACTTGAATTTATTTCCGTCTATACTATTTGTAGTCTGTCGTTTATTTAAATTTATGTGTTATACTTAGACAAAATATAAGTGACGAGGACTTTCCGTATGTTTCAGTGGCCGTGCGGGGGTGACTGGAGTGATGGGATGGGGCCAGAGCCCCATGGAGTTCGGGTAGACCCGTCTCCGGCCCAGCTCCCCAGCCCCCTCCGCCATCGATATCGCCACTGCTCCTGCCAGCGACGCAGAGGGCCACCTCGATCGCGATGGAGGCCTCTAGCAATCAACAACAGAAAGAGAAGGAGCCACGCGTTGACAGACCTTACGCCTTCGACAAGGTATCTCGGCGCGCAAATATAAAATATTTTTCTAAAAACACAGACGGGATCCATGGTTTTTCTTTTTAAATTAAACATATTTAATTAATGTAAGTCACATCTTGCATATAAACTGTACTTAGCGCAAAGATGACTTACTAAAATAAATCCCTTGTATTTTTTTAATATGCAAGTATCGTTGAAAATTTAATGACAGTAGCAATAATAACTGATCGCTCTAATGTAGATGGAGGGGCTGGTGCGGGAGATGCAAGACCCTGAGAGCGGGGTACCCGTGCGAAGCCAAAAACAATTTCTCACCTCGATCCCTTCAGCATTCATGGGTGAGTGCCATCGGTACCTGCGTTGTCCAGTAAGCGTAAGCGGCCATCACGGCCAGGACACTACAGTAGGCTGCCTGCGTGTTGCAGGTTACGACCTCATCGAGTGGCTGATGGAACGGCTTGGCATCGAAGAATCAGGTACGGACTCGTATGTGTCTACCACCACTGATCGTTGTCAGCAATGTCAGCTCTCTCCTTTCTTCGCTGTTGCCGTTCTTTCTCGCTCGCTCGCCCGACCATTCCCAATACGCGCGCAACGACAACGCTCTGTCTGAGGATACGCTAACGATATTAACGATACTTTCGCTTCGCTGTTTCCGACCCATGTCTGCATCGATACTGTCAGCTTGATGCCTTTTGAAGTATCGATTTTATGTATACTGACACGTTACACCACACACAGAATATTCTTTGCTTCAAGTCGAAACATGAAATAGCAATCTTGTTTACATATGAAGCAATTTGAAAACCGCTGTTTCACAAGGTGGATGTGTACTCCCATATATTTTTTGGATGTTACCCCCGTGGGTTTTTTGACGCGCATGACGAATCCGTTATTTGCGCGAATAAACAATAAATATAAATTTGATCGAACGTTTGTTTTGTCAACAAACAAACATAATTTGCATAAGTGAACTTTAATATTTTTGTAAGTATTTCTGTAAGTATATGATATTCTTTCTCAATAACTATATTCGAAATGTTGAATTTGAAATATTTACAGTATTTGAAAATAATATTTCTCAAAATGTACGCACACACTCGTGGATATTTATTTATCTGCGATTTACCGAATTTAAATTTAAATTGAATATCAATATCTGAATTAAATTAAATATATATTAATTGAAGAGTTTGTGTGGGAGGTTGACCCGTTTCCGGCTCTGCTCCCCAGCTCTCTCCGTTATCGATATCGCCATTGTTTCTGCCAGAGACGCGGAGGACCATCTCGATCTCGATGGGGATCTAATATATTTTTATCTTTGAAGCTAATTTTTTCTCTAAGAAAAACAACGTATTTTACTTTCCAAAAACGAGCAAAATATTTTTTGACATATGAAGGGGCATGTTTGTTGAACTGTGTTGGCTGACGAAAACCATAATACCATAACACAGAACAATATGGCATCGTGTTTGAGTGATCTGCACGACCCTAAGCAACGCTCTTAGAGGCTTCTGTCAATACAAGTATTTTCTCAAATATCAAAATGTGTCATTATGTTTAACAGTAGAGGCGGTCCATATTGCTAATCAACTATGCCAGTATGGCTACTTCTTCCCGGTGAATGACTCCAAAACGCTCACTGTAAAGGATGATAGCTCTCTGTATAGGTTTCAGGTAAGCTAGATCACAGAAAATATAACAATTGAGAAATATGTGAAGATTTCTTTCTCTGCGGCACACACATTAAAAAAATCTTATAATTCTTATCCCGAAATCTTAATACACGCATAGACACCTTATTATTGGCCGTGGCGACATAGAACCCTCTTCTCCGATAAGGAGGAGTACGCGATTTATCTGGTTAAGCGAACTCTGAGGAACAAACAACGACATGCTCTCGAAGACTACGAAATTGTACGTAAATCTGTGTTATTATTCCGGAATAATACACACACGATAAAGAGCAGAGTTGTTTCTAAAAAAAAGATCACGTTGTTATTAACAGGAAGCTTTGAACGGCCTGAAGAAGAACTTGCAGAACAAATGGGACGCGATACAACTTCAAGCCGAGGAACAGGTGACTATAATTATCCGTGACTATTGTATTCAGTTTTCATTGGTAACGTATGTCAAAAAAATGTGTTTCCCCGTAATGCCGATTACGCGTATTCGAGCATGTGACTCCTTGAAATGCTGCTGATTCTGTGGGATCAGGTACGCCTATCCAAGGAGCGCAAGAAGGGGGACAAGATAGTGAGCGACTCGCAGGAACGAGCATTTTGGAGAGTCCATCGGCCGCCGCCCGGTTGTCTCAGTAGTCTGGAAGTCGTGCTCGTACCCACTCGTTTTCATCCCGGACTTACACGACCTTCGACACGCAAACGCACTCTTACCGATCTACAACGTGAGGTAAAGACAACAATTGTGATTCTTTTTTTTGCAGCGCGCTTCTTAAAGGATCTTCAATGTTTACGTTATAATCGCGTATAAATCTTTTCTCAGGTTGCTCTTCTGCAGAACAGTTTGACACGCACGAGAATAAAAGTTTCAACTGCTATCGAAAACTTAAAATCATACTTCGACACGTACGTCGAATACGATCCGATGTTTGTACAACCGCAACCTTCCAATCCATGGATTACTGACGATCATACGTTTTGGCAACTGAATAGTCCTATGTAAGCAATTAAAATCTTACGTGTTATTTAGCGAGTCTTCGTCAATTAAGTGATATATTTATAATAACGCAATTTTTAATGTACACTAGAGTGGAAGTTCCTACGGAAAGGCGTGTTAAACGGTGGGCACTGTCGATGGAAGAACTTATGTCTGATCCTACAGGTAAACCACTTCTCGGTCATCATTAATCGGGAATTCATTCCGCTAAAGAAATTCACACATGTAATTTCTATATCGCAACAGGTCTACAAGAATTTACGAATTATTTAAGAAAAGAGTACAGCCACGAAAACATACGATTTTGGCTAGCGGTCAAAGATCTCAGGCACAGTTCCCAAGCACATATACCTGAAAAAGTCAACGAAATTTTTAGGTAACCCATTTTATACAATTGATTTGTAAATAATGACATTTAAGAAAAAAATATATATATTTGTGATTTCTTAAATGCAGGGAATTCTTGGCGCCTGGAGCTCCGTGCGAAATCAATATAGACGGCAAAACGATGGAGAAGATTCATCAAGAGATGAAAAATCCAAGCAGATTCACGTTTGATTCCGCCGCGGAGCATGTATATACATTACTCCTGAAGAAGGACTGTTATCCTAGATTTATTCGCTCCGATCAATATCGTAACCTCTTATCTGCTGGCGTGCAACCTTTGCAAAAGAAAAGGTAAGATCTGTTTAAGCTCCGTTTCAATTTGCTTTGCGGGGGATCTCAAGTTGAAACGTAAACAACGACCCCAAAAATGTTGTGTCTTGTTTAGATTTTTCGGTTTCGGCGGCCAAGCCAAGAAGAAAATTTCCACCACTTCAACACCAACGTCTAGCACTTTGCAGCACGCTAACATAGCTAGCGGCGGCGGCAGTAGACGAAGAGGAAGCGACCGGAGCCTTTCTGGAAGTGCTCACGAGCTCGCTGTGTGCGGCGTCCGCGACGTCGCTTCCGCGCCGCGAGTACCGCACTCCCACAGCCAATCAAACCTCACCGACATCCCATACAGGTACGCGGAGTTTCGGAGATCAAAATCGCGGTTCCCGCGAGAGCGCATATCTGTTGTTTCCGATCCGGTCCGCCGCGATATGGCTATTATTGCGCTTTTTAGCATGCTATTCCTTGACATGGCACTGAGTAGGCGTGGCCGATGATAGGCTTATTCGTACGCGTCGTATTTTCAGGGGAGATCTACCACGACTCGTAAAGATACCTTCGAGGCCTAGTCCACATAGTATTCAGTAAGTCACACCCCCGATATATATATATATCACGGTTTTTCTCGATTTGATGTAAGAGCTGGATGCGCGTGCGGCGAATTAACAGCTTTTCGTTTACGTGGTTCTTCTCTCTTGTATCTTCGTGCCGTATGTCGCTCTTTCGGATCTTGGCAGTAACTTGATTTAACCGATAACGATTCTGGCCCGAGATATACGGAGGAAGAACCGGTACGCAAGCTTGTTAATGCACGCCGCTCATACCATGCTCTGCTGTATTTTCGTATCAGATTTTGGCAAACCCTCTTGTCTCGGTGTGTTTCAAAACTCTCGCACTTTAAATTTAAAAAATGTTGTCTTTATAAAAAACTCACTAATGTGTGTGAAGCAGTAAATGTTGATATTGTGTATGATGACATATTATGCTCGTTCTTTGATCCTCCTTGAAAAATCTTTCGGTGTCTCTGAATACTATATCAAATACTATTGTGTGTATATGAAGTGTCTTTTTTTTTTTTTAAATAAAAACTGCGTCCCAAAAGCGCTTTTCAACTTTGTTTTGTTTTCTAAGTACATTTGCATCATTTATCTCCTCATAGGAGAAAACAATTTGTATTTATTAAATGTTGTATATTTTTATGTGAAACACATTCAGCTTCGATATTGATACATTGTGTTGTCCACTTCAAGCTTAGTAACTCTTCTGTGTTTATATATATGTTTATGTATTTGTAATGTGTTTTGTTTAACATATGTATTATATGTGTACACACACATACATACATTATATATGTATACATACATTTGTCAAGCACGTCACTTGCACAGAGAGTAAGAAAGGTATATATACTGAACGTTTTGTAAAATTTTGCAACAAGTAATTGTTGTTTATAATACGTTATATTTAAAATGTGCGACAAGGACACGTGGATTTAAACTTTACAAAAAAAAAAAAAAAAACAACATCGTCCGGATCGAAATACGGAATGTCCCGGAATTATCGCGCACATTGTTCAAGCCTATCAAATAAAATAGAGATATCGGGATATTTTTGCGAAAATACGTATGTATAGAAATATCTATACTTTTCCTAATTGTTAAATGGAACATCACATGCATGTGTATTGACTGATGTTGAAGATAAATTGTAAAACTGTAAAAAAAAAAAAAAAAATACCCTACAGACACTTACGCAGACACACACGCACACAACGCGCGTGGTATCTTGCCGAGAGTAAACGGTGAAAACTAAATCATATAATAAAGTTCCTGTTGTCAGGGATGCTGGCGCGACGGAAGTGGCGGCTCGCCCTACGGACGACGTGTGTCCGTGGGAAGCCGTGCCGGGCCCGAGCACGGAACACGGAGGTGCGGCGGACGCCGCGTCCTCTGGAGGGACAGCGTCAGCTGATCAGTCCCGACACTTGTGGGACAGCGGCGGCGGTCATGCGACAACCACGCACTCCGCCGAGGCCGCGCGCGCCTCCCGCAAGAATTCGGCGCAGCTGGACTCCTGCAGCTCGTCATCGGACGTCAGCCTTGCTATCGTGGAAGTCTCCGAGCGGCTGCGGAAGTCGTGTAGTTTGCAACATAGTGGTAGCATAGGTCGGTAACAGTTAGAATACACGATTCTTCAGATTCTTGTGCTATGTATGTGTGCGAAGAATAGCAATGTATAAAAATCACATGTGAGGCAACGAATGTTATTCTTTTTTTTTTTTTTTTGTTTTTTTTTTTGTATGCGCAGGTGCACCGACTTCAGGCACAATTACGCGAAATTATTCTACTTGTTCAGCGAGCGGTCGTATCAGACTGTCTGAAATGAATCGCGCGTCCATGTCGTCCTGTAACTATCCATCACCTCAACAGTCATTCGAGTACTCTCACGCGGTTGAAAAGGTGGAAGAGAGAACGTCCTTGGAGAAGATTACGCTTCCCGAGGAAGAGGAGCTCGTGAAATCCGATGTCGTAAAGGAAAAACAATCGAGTCCCAGGTAAGTTAATCGTACGACTTGTGTTTTATAACAAGTCGATGAATTGCGCTTGAGAACAAAGTTGTTTCTCTGTGTCACCAAGGAAAAACGCGAAAGCGCCCTTGATCAGCATCAGCGCGATCGTAGGCGATCTGCCGAGTGACAACTCAACGGTGGAGAACGTCGACGATGACGCGAGCGAGAGTTGCACGGCCAAGGATGTAGAGGAGATTGTCGCCGAGGAGAAAACAAAAGACGAGGATTCGCGAGCCGATACCGGAGCGAATGTGTCGCCGGTAACTGAGGAACCGGCGACGACCGAGGAACCGCCGGAGGAAGCGCAGGTCGTACCTGTCTGGGAACCGGACGCCCGGCAGGGTGATCGATCGGCGACGGCGCAGGCGGTGCCTCGGCAGAAGCGTGACAATAATAACGAAGTATGCCCGTGGGAGGACGAGTAAGTACCTGAATCCTAACCGCTTACGCTTGTTGACGCGATCATCGCTTACACAACTTGCTCTCCGCGTGCACTAGTAATCTCGTATAATAAACGTTTTTATTCGTACGGAGCTATCACTATCTGTTTCAGGGAAAACTGTAGAGTGGATGCACCCTATGTAAAAACCTATGCGACTTTAGGTTACTTGTAACTTGTCGTTAATATTAAAAAAATCTTACATTTTGCATTTACAACAAATTCACAAAATTCGATTTCCTCTTTAATCCACTTTACTGAGCTCGCGTGTTTAGACCGTTACGTGAAGAAAAATGAAAAACTTCTTAACCAACACTGCGTTATTTCCGAAGCGCAATAAAGAGCGCGATGAAAAAGAAAAAAAATGAAATTTATCACACAAAAAGAAATTAATAAGATTTTAGTGAAATAGTTTATATATGTTCATCTCTCGCCGATCGTGGTGGACGGTACTCAATTATCACGTTCGTGATATATCGTGTCGTGGAAGACGTACCGTGCGAAAGACACGTAGAAATTGTGAACAGATTGTTCGAGGAATTAATTGCAAAAGAAAAAACTATGTAGGTGTTGCACATATATATATATACCACCCACAGAACGAAAAACGAGCACGGCATCGGCGTCAAATCGCGTAAATTGCATCGCGTCTAATATCAACGGCCTAGCAATTATAGATTTGTTCGTTCGAGATTATCAAAGATCCGCAATGGATTCTTCCTCGATCTCGAAATCAACGATCAATAGTTAGATCTTTGTCTCTTTCGATCTCAACTACTTCTATATATTTATATGGTGCTTTGTATGGCAGCTATAAAAAAAAAAAAAAAACAAATATACACAAAAAAAAAAAAAGATTTATCTATGTGTGAAGATGTGCTAAAAGTGGTTTAGAGATTTGTTCTAGAGGCAGGAAGTGTGTGTTACTCGTATAGCACGTAGATGTGTGACAAGTATTTACATGTGGCGATAGTACGTATAGCAGCGTCCTTCTGTGTTGGTAGACGTTTCAAAACGGTGTAGCGATAGTAGCGCGAATAAGATGAAAACGTGCGTGGATTGGGAACTCATTTATATTCTTCCGTTCGATATAGTATCTCGCGCAAACGCATGCTCGTAGAGTGCTAGTCAAACTCGAGCCATTTGGCCGCTCTCTATGGTCGCGCTTTTCCCGGATACTCGGTTTTGTCTCGCGATTCGCGAAACTCTGTACAATTTCGACATCTCGATATGTGTTACAGTGCAAAACTTGCTGCGTTTGACTCTTTTTAGAGAATTATTAACTGACGATCGCGCGCGCGTCGACTTTTGATTGGATTCGATATTGCGAATAAAGGTATCACGAGACTTTTCGAAATAATTGATTCACTTATTTTTCGAAAACGTTGCATCAATCCCAATCGCGCGACGCGCGTAAACTACATAATTTTTAAGCGCATCGCAATCCGTACGTCCTCGTCGTTAGAGTTATCGCTTAGAGTTACCAAATGTGTGTTTTGCGCCGTATTCCGTACGAGCGTTCGATGATTAAAAAAAAAAATAAAAAAAAAATAAAAAAAAAAAAACTATTGACAAATTTATCGTGACCTGATATATTGTAAGTGTATTATCTATAGGTGTCATATGTATTACATTTAATTCGCTCGTTTGTTGCGATCGAGATAACACACGTCTGTGACGATCACGGCGATTTTACGTTTCACTCGTTGATCCTCGCTAAGGCGCGAATCGCGTTTGCAGAAATTATAACACTAGTGAATAAAAATAAGAGAAAAAAAAATAAAAAATAAAATATATTCGTGTAAATTTAAAGATATATAGAGTTACTATCTCTCTCTCGAAAGTGTTCCCATCGGATCTCTGGTTCTGTTACTGCCCCAGGACCTCCGTTCCGATGTTGTAGGAACCGAAAAAAAAAAAAACAATTTATTTAAAGATTGTATGTTATTTTCATGAGAAGTTGCGCAACTCTTATCTGTAACATCGGTGTTTTTTGTGTTTACATTAGTGTTTGATCGAGACCCGTCGCGCTCAGATAGTCCGTAGCGAAGATCTAGACAGTTGGGATATTTCAAAATATCCGATTGTGACATTTGTTGTAAATTAAGATAAATAAAGAATTTCTCTCGAAGACCAACATCGAGAGATGTTGTACTTGTCGAAAAAAACTTTTTTTGAATAGGTGTCTTTACCGACGCGATCTTGCAAAACCGTAGATTTTTTACGCTCGTACGTGCGTACGAAGACTCGTACACTGCGAGCGTAAAAGTAGCGTTACAAATCCGTCAAAGATTCAATGGACGAAGAATAGAACAGTCGTTTAAAATTAGGATAATATATATAGATATTTATGATTATATTAAGATGAATAAAATTAGTAATAAGTTCGATAGCAAAACCGACGATTTCGACAGCCGATTCCTCATTTTTTTTCTTCGATGGGTGGAATAAATTGATTGACGGAGAAAAAGAGAGAGAAAAACTGCCTATATGTAGTCGCGTAGTATCTTAAGAAGAAAAAGGTGAAAAAAAAAACGAGGAAAGGATCGAATGTAAACCGTGAGGATGTTTTAACGACGCTTCTCTGACGATTAAAAACATTTCGTTTATTTCTTTTATTCATCAGATGTTTTGTTCGAAGCAAACACACGTAACGGAGAAGAGCACAAGAAAGTGCTATCTGACAACTATTTAATTGCCACCACGAGACGGTCTGAACACGCGAGCGTAATCATAAGAATTTCAAAGTATTCACGATGTCGTACTTGTTAATTCAGCAGCTCAACCTAAGTATGATAATGTTCTTATGATAGGTTAGTTGTGATAATAAGATTAGAATTAAAACACAATGTTCGCGATTGATAAGAAAATGAATATAATATACTTGCCGCCACACATAAGATTTGCGTTCGTGTTTCATCACACAGCACCAACGATCGATACGCACGATATCGAAATTACATTTCGACCGTGTAACTTTGTATCGTGTACGAGCTGATGCAAAAAAATGCATTGTAATTAAAAAAAAAAAAAAAACAAAAAAAAAACCTCGAGAAACGGAAGACGAGAGAACTAGATGCTGGAGGGAGCAAATCAAAAAAATCTGTTACAACTTGCCTAATACAAAAAAAAAAAAAAAAAAAGACGTTATATATTCTTTGTAAATAATTTCCGACGTGTCACACATCGTGTATATTGCATATACACTTTCGAGTATCTGGAAAATATATTATATTCATCGCAAAGCCAAAGACATCATCGCCGTGCAGGGATACGCGCAAGTTTCGCGACGACTATCGCCTGTTGTGTTAGCGAAAAAACGCAAGTTGAAAAAATTGTTCTAAAGTTTTGCACAAAACAATCGAGTCGAGTGTGTCGTTTCAACTTTATACATGTATATCTCGAGCGAGACGAAGATTATTGTTACAAAAGAAACAACATATATATTTCTCGGAATATCGAGTTTGTCGCACAATTATGTTAATTATTTCATTGCACGATTCAAAGAGAAGTTTTTTATTCGAAACTGTAAGATTGAGAATCGAGATGGATGGATCTTGAGCGCATCCCTCGCATAATCTTTTGTAATAACTTTAAACCGCGACACGCTTGGCGTACATCGATTATACATTTTTAGCATGTCATTGTATCGAGATTGCAAGTTTATAGCTCGCGCGTCGAGAGAGATTACTAAATATTTAAAACATTCTGGAATCTCTTTGCTGTTCCGATTGTTGCGATTAAACTCTACAGCGTTGTGCAAAGGAGTACAATTATTTCGAGCATGATTAATCGAGAGCAAAAGATATGGCACTTATATATTATAAATGACCGAAATGCAAATTAGTTCGCATAACTAGCGTAGGCGAAATATATGATAGACATGAATAAAAAAAGAGAGTATCATTCTAAACTAATATATATATATATATACTGCTGAAATATATTATTACGTAATGGAAAAATTAACTTGCATAAATTACTTCGTGTTTTGCAAGTTTGCACTTTGAAAAAGTCTGCAAGATCTGGTGCCATTACATATATATACATATATATATATATATATATATATACATATATATATATATACATATATATAATATACATACTTACATATATATTGTACCGTTGCTTTATATAGCGTTTCTAAATGTTTTGTTTTATATAGAAATGTTTTCACGATTTCAGCAGGATTGTAAATAATTGTTGAAATAATATTTATATATTTTTCTGTGTCGATACATAATATTTATAAATTCTATTTTTATCTAGATAATAATATGAGTATAAAACAAAAACAACGTTTTTGCGATAAATGTGATGATGTGTTGTTGTTATATTTATCACGAAAAGGTGAAAAACTGCGGACGGAATGATTTTAATTTATTCAACAAAAATATTGATGATTATGTGGTCGTTATATAATTAAGAAAAAACCAGATGTGTGATTATGCTTAGGAAAAAAGACACACCGTAGTTTTTCTGAAAATTAATAAAATGCAAAATGTTTCTATTCTTGAAACACTAAGTGAGATCTAACAGATCTGTATCAAAATTTAACAATAACGTGCACAGATTAGAGAGCACCGTATTGCTTTTACGCTTGATTAACGTTTGTTTAGTTATTCAAATTATTACGAATCTGCCATAAAGTCGAGCAAAAATTATTATTTTGCTCCGAATTTTGCGAACTTTCGCGTACGTAAAGCAGTTGCAGCTTGAAATTGTAAACGACATGAAGAAGCAAGTAAAGAAAATTGCGTATGAATACGTGTGTGCTAAATATAAAATCCGAGCATCCTCTAGAATCTAAAATCGATAGAGTGAAACATTTCTTAACTGGATGAAGTTTCTTCGAAGATTCTCGGGAAGATTTTAGATGTGAAAAAGCGTGTTGTTCAACGCTTGAGTTTACAGCGAGGAGTAACGAAGAATTTGCAAGAAAATACGAGACACATTAAATTGATCTCGACGGGGCGATTTCTGATCTGAGAGAAAACCAGAAATTTTATTCCAGATTCTCTGAAGTCTTTTAATTTAATTTTGTAATTATGATGAGAGAAACAGTTGTGTATTTTCGTCACGCGGTATTAAAAAAAAAAAAAAAATGCAAAACACTTCGTAGGTCGACGACTGCGCGTGCCATTTTCTTTTTTCAAAATTACATTTTGCGCGCACACACACACACACACACACACACAAAAGTGGACACGCGGTGCAGAAGCATTTTGCACAAAGCCTAATATGGAAACGCTAACGATGTAATAGTAATAATTATGTGTAAATTGCAAATTCGCACCAAACTCACGACAAAATGTGAAAAAGAAAAAAAAAACATTACGTAGAGACCCAAAATCGTCTCTAATTTGTATTTCTTTTCTCTGCGTTCATCATCAATCAATTAACTTGTCGCGTTGGAAAGAGAAAATAGAAAGTCATTTATGTTATCTTGAATGTTTTTACTGTCTCAATTACCGTAAGTTTTTCAAATTCGAATTAAAATAAATTATGATTTATTGTTTTTGTTATCCTCGAAACTTCTTATCTTATACCGACCTCCCTTTTGTTCTTCTTAGAATTTTATTGCACACACACACACACGTTCATTTTCTCGATATGTGTGATTTTACGACGAATGTGTAATTTTAACGAATACGCGGTACGTCATGTTTAAATTGCACTGCCATTCAACGAGACATTTATATAGTTTATATTTATTTTACATACGCATTGATAAACACGGTGGTGCACTAAAGAATGAACACCAATAATGCTATCGATAATCGAATTATCGAGCACAAAGTGAACGAACAATTATTTAAATATTGTAACTAAAATCACTCACCAGCCAGCAGTGTCAATTTTTTTTTTTTTTTTTATTGACCTCTTCGTTTTTGTTGACGTTGGCTAATTACACTTGACGATAATGTTGCGCCATCCAACTCGATTAAATATTCACGACGCGTATAAATTTCATTGTGTAAGCACGACGCACTTTGAACAAAGCAGCGAGATACGCAAACAATCACTCGTTGAATAATCATTCGCGCGAAAGTTTGAGATTAGATCCGTTGGAGAAAATTTGAATAATCCAACAGCGTAACCTTGCAACGATTTTGGTAGAGCGTGAATTGTGTTGTGAATTAAAAGTGCAATATTTTTTTGTCTGGGGAACGCGAACACGATAAAATTATGACACTTCGCGTCGCTTCGCTTAACAAAACCTCTCGACCACTTTGTCCGAACTTGAACCGCGTTTGCTCTTTTTCACCGCGAACAATATTAAACGCACGCACTAACATGCTATTACAACCGATACGCGTAAAATCCTATTTGGCAGTGTGATTGTTTAACGTAACATACACAGAGTCATCTATAAGCGACGCGCGATACTACATATCGAGTGAACGTATGCGCGAGTCAGCAGAGATAATCGATCGTTTATCGGAGTTGTTGCAAAAATCGATTGGTACGCGCGAAAAATGCTTTTGTGGAATCGAAACCTCTACGGTTTCTGTTGTGGTTAAAACTACACGAGGAGGCAAAGAGAAAAAGAAAATCGAGATTTGTTGGAACATTTGTTCCAAAAAACATCGCGCATAATATTCGAAAATATTAAAGTGACATAAGATCCGTTTTTAATGATTACGTAGTCGCAATGTTTCGAATTGCATGAAGAGAAGAAAAAAATTGGCGAGCGATTTGACGAGGCAACAATGGCACATGCGTGCGACCGGTGAGTAAAAATTCACGAGTGATCCGAATTGTTAATTTACTTTATTTGCGATAATTCGGCAAAATGTACAGCAAAAAGAGTTCTGTTACATTTTGTGTGAGAGACAGCAACACACAACTGGTGATACTCGTTATTATCGGATTCGTGAAACGATTCTTTTTTACTTTACTGACGCGAGAAAAGTTAATGCAATTTCTTCTCGTGCGTTCAACAACAATCTGATAATCGTATCGTCCCGCGAGCGATATTCGTTGAAACGATAAGTGCATAAACGAAAATCGCGTGTCTTCTCTCGCCCATCGTCCACGATCGAAGCTTGAGGCGATTGTCTGCGTGTCGCGATTAATCCTCCCATTCCTATAAATTAAAGCTTTGTAATTTTTGTTAATAAAAGAAATTGTTTGCTAATATTTTTGTTGCAATCTACAACAACATGCAATGGCACATGAACAGTATTATTAACTTAGATTTAAATATCTTGCTATAAGAGAATCTATAGCATACGTTTTTTGTTTCTTTTGTTCATCTTGTTAATGTAAATATACAAAGTTTTTTGTCATTTATATGTATATATATATTACTTGCGTAATAAATAATGCGAATATATTGTATATTGATGACGTGCATCGGAAATGAGAGGATTAATAATATAAAACAGAGTCATAAAAATATGAGACAAAAAGAGAGAGAGAGAGAGTGTGAGTGTGAGTGAGTGAATGAAACAAGTGAGTGAGTGAGAGAGAAAGTAGAAAAGAAAGAGTACACTAGCATTTAAACTGCAAATTGGTCGCGGACGATAATTAGTTGCTTAGCGATTTTAGCGTTAAGTAATGATATAAATAGACACCTACCTTTGTATTATTGTACACCTCGCGCTAGAGTTTGGCGTAGCACGAATTTTAAACGCGCTAATGTTACGCACTTCTCGGCGACGATTATTATATCGCGCGTGTACAGAATATGTTATATATGTGAGAGATAAAAAGAGGAAAGAGGGAAATGTTAACTAGAGCTAGACGTTGTAGATGATAAAAAAAAAAAGCTTTAGTGTATATAGTTTTGTAAAGTGTTAATTATATAGTATGCGAGAAAACCAAAATATATATATGTATATATATATGTATATATTTATATACACATGTATGTATATGTGTGCATATACATACATATATATATAAATATATATATATATATACGAAACACTCGCTACACGAAACGTATATAAATCTGTACGTTTTCTAGCTAATATAATTAAGCTATCTAGCTATTATAATTACATGAATTGTCGTTGGCGATCGAATACACATAAAAATTGGAAAAAACCGTCGTTTCGTTAACCATATAGTTGTGCATACTAATTAATATATATCGTACGTGTAAGGTCGCGAGGAACGTTGATGATTATATATAAATATATATGATATGTGATATACGCGTTAATTTTAAGCTGTCACTAGAGAATGTCTTAATATTAAATATTATAGTGCCACATTATGCATATTTTCATCACTTTTTACTTCCAAATACCTTTTTCCATTTTAATAATGTAATTAAGTATTAATTGGGTATAATATTCTCTTCTTGTGTGAATAATATATATCTTTTTACATGTACACATATATATAGTATCTTCCCAGGAATCTCGTGAAAAGAAGAGACAGCTATAAGGTAAAAAAATACTTTTGCGTATATAAAGCAAAACTTATATGCAAAAAGGATTATAAAAATATAAACGGAAAAATTTTTTAATTTATATAGTTTATTTGAAAATACGCATATATTCACATTTCACATTTGACGTCACATGTGGCGACGTTACGTGTTATCAATGCAAGTTTTCAATTTTAGTAACAGTTGCAGCGATCGGTTGGACAATTCGACGGATAACGCATGCATCTTCTCAAACAGTATTGGTCCGCTCCCGGCTTATCGGCGATATCTCCAATAGCGTCGCACGTGTTTCTGCAAACACATCGAAAGCACAAATTAAGAGGTTGTTTGAACAGCGATTGCATGTAATTGCATTAAAAGTTACAGGACAGTTGTGCATAGTCGTTTACGCGTGTAATCGATCTCTCGATTTATTCTGAATCAATTATGATTTATTGCTTGAACTCGAGTATATCGAGTTTCAATACTCACAGACAATGACAGATGCCTGGCGGGCAATTAGAGGGAATACGAATGCAATTCACTTGACACCAATTGGTCATATTTTGCCTGTATCGATAAGCCGCAGTCGGTTCGCACACTTGAACTCTGTAAAATCACAAAGCACATGTACGCCATCGGAAACAATCTATAATCTTCGCGCGTTCGATAATGATAACACGTTACGGAAAAAAAGTTTTCGTTGTTATAGGCAAGAAGAGATTAGTTTATACTATATATAGCCAGCGAGAAAAACATTTGCTAAGCCTGTTAAATTTTGTTGCAAAATGTTTTGTTTCGCTTTGTCAACAAAACCTTTTGTTACTAAAACAAAAAATTCACTAGACTTACTAGAATTAGCAAATTGTGTTCTTGCTGACCATATTATAATAGCAAAACTTTTCTTTCCGTGCATGCGCGTAAATTCTCACCTCAATGGTTCCGCAAGCGGTGTGGTCAAAAATTTCGGTACAATGGAATACAATTCGGAAATGGTGTTTTGATATATAAACTGCGGCGGTATTCCACCGGTGCTCGTGACAATTCTCACGTCGGCACAATTACGGAACGTTTCCGGTCGTCCGCAACCAACGGCTTCGGTGCCGTTTTCGCATGTGCCCCACATATTGCCTATATGAAAAAAAAAAAAAAAAAACGCAGAAAAGAATTAAACTTATTTTTCTTTCAGATAACACAGGAACGATGTAATATTCAATATAATACGTGCCGGTAAGATAATTCCATTGTATCTCACAATGTGAACATGTCACGTATGGAGGCAACGTTACGCTGTATGTAATGATGCCTTTTTTTCCAATCTCTCGTGGAATTTCAAATCGAACGTCTTGCGTCCCAGACACGTACAAAGGGTAACTTGTAAGTATTAAGATACATTAGTGTGATAATAAAATAAGAATAATTAAATATTCAAAACAAAAAATATTACAACACTTACGAGTCGAAACACTCTTGAGTTGCTTCTTTCGACGGATCGTTAGTCGGGCATATGTACATTTCGAAATGTCCGTAGTGATTGGCTGTTAGTTCGACTTCAACTTCAATGTCCTCCAAAACAGATTATACTGACATTGAATTTAATATTATTATTACAAATCTTTTAGAAATACAGTAGAAATCTTCGATAACTCCAATCTCAATGGAAGAGCTAAAATCTTCGAGTTCGTAGAGGTTTCGACTTATCGAGAAGTTCTTTTTTCCTTTCCGCGGAGCAGAAGAGAATGAACAAAATTTTCGTCTTACAGAGCTTTTCGAGTTATAGAGGTTCGAGTTATCGAGGTTTGACTGTATATACTCTGCGAGAATTATGGAAATAATTTATTATTATTGAAAAAATCAACAGTGGGGGGGGGGGGGCAATTAATTTAGTATTTGACATAGAAAAATATCAGAAATTACGTTACCTGGCCAGAGAGGTAGTGCCTAACTATTGTACCTTTGCCGAACTCACCACCTGCCTCGTGTGGACGAGGTTCTTTCAAATGGTAAGCATCGCCGCAAACTCCGCATTTGCCCTTATTTTGCTCCCAATGTACTAAAAAGATAACAACACATGAATGTCAGATTCAGCTGACAATTATACAACAAATTAATTGTAGATAAAAAAAAAAACCTGCGTATCCTCCGCAGAACAACTCATTGTCATTATAGTCCACGGGATTCGGATAGCCGAAGCGCCACATCGCGTTTCTACTCGGCGGCTGCATCAATCTGCCATGTCCGTTAATCTTATCAAGAACCTTTTTTTTTATGATGCAATGAAAGTAAGAAATAAAAATGTTATGTAAGAATAATTGTTGTTCTTTTTGCGATACGACTATGTATTATATATGTGCTACGTCATTAAATAGATGGCCTCTCGTTACTTTTACTTGTGCTTAAGGTATTAAGGGCACGTCTGCGGGAAAGTGTTGTGAAATGGCAAATTGCACACGAGGCTGTTGAATACTCTCATTTAACGAGTATCTTTCAAGACGAATTCGTTACGAACTTTCGTTGCCAACGGCAAAAAAAAAAAAGAGAATCCGGACATTCTTCAATTTTCGACGCGTAAATTTATGAAAAGACAGGCGTGACGAAAATCCCAAAGCTTATGTTAATGATATCGATCACGTGCAATTTGTATTAAACAAAAAAACTGGTCTTACTTCTATGAAGAGATAAGATATTGCGAGAGAGAAAGAGAGGAAGACGTTGTTCTGTCGATGCCTGGCGATCCTCATCCTTTCCTAAAATCAAATTATTATTATGCAATATGATGATTAATGAATCGAATTTTCATTCACAAAAATAAAATAAATGATAAATAAATGATATAATAATTCTTTTTTATTTCTTTTACTTTAATTTTTATATATATCTTCTTTCATTTTTATTTTTATTTATATACATGACGAAGCATAGAAACTTAGTTTCGAAGTATAATAGATACGGTCCGTTGAACCTATTGTAGAAAAACTCTTTGAGAGATTGTTTTTCCTTGTCAATAGATTGAAAAAAAATCTACTACGAAGCAAATAAAACGATATACGATCACTGAATTGTAAGAAGTTGAATAATTTGCGTAATCTGGATTTGAAAATTATATTAAAAATTCTAATTAAGAATAAAAAATTCTAATCGAGATAATAAGTTTCCGCCTTCGGAATAGATGGGAGCGAGATTATGACGGAATATAAAATCGCGAAACGTACGTCCTTGAATCAGCTGGCAGGAGTCAAATCTTGCGTAAGAAAGTAAGACGACGTGTATTGTGCCAATGATGTCGTTAAAATGGCGAGTACGTTATATCGCGTATTAATTAAACAAGACACGTATTGTGGATAAAGATCGGTATCAAGGATCATTCCGAGCAATCTTTTAGCAATTAGGTCTCCAGATCAATTTATGAAATTTGTTCATCGCTCAGCTTTGCTCACGCGTATCTACGCATTCATTAAAATTTATTGCCGTCGTTAATCAAATGCTAACATAACAATTAGCATATTGGAACTCTAGAATTCACTAATCGGTTACGTAAACACGTTGTTGATGAGTGTTGGCACGTGACAAGATGTGATATACACAAACATCATCTAAAGTGTTGGCTTTCGTTAACCGAGACTGTGGTGGTGAATCATTTTAAAATATCTGTGTCTCTCAAGTGCGTAGCTCAAGCACACAGCTAATTGCAGATTCTGAATATTAATGAGATGGAATTTTTAATGAGGTGATACGATTTACAAGTACGGAGTTGGAAAGAAAACATGACGGTAATGAGCTTAATAAATTTTGAGATCCGAAAGAGGGATAAGAGAGAGTACCTGTGCCAAATGTGTTAGTAATCTCTACGTAGTACGTGCAATTGATTGTGGTATTATTTTTTGTTCGTCGTATACATGTATTCAAATTTTACCTGTGTCTCTCTTTTGTAATATTAATCATAACATGATAAGACAGGTGGTTTAAACAAGTCGAAAGAGAGTAGTTGCGCGAAACAACAGAGATTCTTGGAGCTACAATGAAATGCATATCTGTTCCCCGTGGATCGAATAAAACGAATGATTTGTCGCATGTAAAACAAGGCCGGTTAACCTTCGCGTCGCGGAATGACTTTATATCTCGATAATATCTGCTGTTGAACCACAATGATAAAGAAAAGAAGAAAAATAAAAGCTGATTTCTTCGAAGGGTTCGGAGAATTTGCATTCGCGGACGGGCGTAGGTGTGCGTCACGTAATGAAATTCAAAACGACGACGTCGCGGGACAACGATCGAAAGCATAAATTCAACACTTATCAACGCGAGATTGTTTAGTTAATAATAACAATATCTTTCCTCGCGTCTTTTCGGTCTCTCTCGATGATCTCCCGGCACTCCCACGGAGACGAGAGATGATGACACTTTACTGTGCAAACAAATCCGGATTTAAAAGAAACGGTACTAATCACGATCGTAAAATGCAAAATGAACGGAGACTTTTTGCGAAAAAAAAGTCAACCGAATCACATTCTGGATTTTTTGCGCGGAGTTAACGACCGAAAGTGAATGCCCTTAGGATATTTGTGCGTATACAATATAGTTTTGTATATTGTGTTCGATAATTTTTTTTCGTGAATTTAGAATTCGTGTCTGATGACGAGAGATTTTTTCATTATATAATTTTTAAGAGTTAGTTTATTTAAAATTACATATTAAAACGTATATAGACCGGTATTCATAGTCGAATCTTACATTTAAGATCGTCTTTGGGTGCTCTGTCAATCAATGAAACGGTTCGTACATGATCTGAAGATAAGCTTAAGATCGAAAAATTCGACTATGTGAATATCGACTGTCATAAAGTCATTTTCTTAGCCGTGCTTGTATATATTTTTATTAATTTACTGAATTATTTGTACATGTGTAAATATACATATATATATTGACTGGTTTTATAATCTCTCGGTTCGCAAATATATGTGAGACGAATGAAAAAAAGTGTGAAGAAATAAGCTTAACAAGCACGCACAAGCAAAAAGTAATCGCACAATATATATATATATATATATATATAAATACAAATTCTCCTTGATGTGCATCGTATTCACTTTGTATATCGGGTCGATCGCGTGATTCGAAAGTTGCAGTCATAAATTATTGGTCATTCGCTAAGTGTCCACTGTCTTATCGCTTGATAAAAAAAAATACTTTGACTTATAGATTTACTTGTACTACAATAAAATAATTAGACATGTACGAAAAACGCGGGACATACGTAAATTTGTGAACAATACGCATTAAACATGTGACATGTGTTTGTTGATAGAAATAGATAAATAATTGAAGAATTATCGAAAAGTATAAGTTTGTTCTTTAAAAAAAAATCAGACAAAGTCAAAATCAATTCGAATTCCGTTCGTGGGAGAAAAAGAAATGATACGATTAATCGAGGGCCACAGAACTCGAGGACCTCTTATCTGACCGCAATTTGCCGAAATCGGATTCGTCCGGTTAAATTGTTTTCGGAATACCGGCAAACTCGCAAAACAAGAGAGAGAGAAAGGAAAAAAGAAGAAGCTGAAACTTCTCCCGTTTCCACATACCAAGGTCGAGGGAATGCAACAAGTTCATCTAAGAAGAGACGAAAAATGTAACTGTCTACTGTTTTTCAAGATCTATCCCTCTGTCTGCGGGATATAAATAAGAACGTACCAATATAATTGGCAAATAATCGGATGTACTAGTTTGTGCACAAATTCTCTCTCGAGTCTTGAAATAACAAAAAGCGATACTAAAAAAAAAAAAATCCACATTTATATTTAGATACGTTTTAGAGAATAATTTTAATCTTATATATATATCAGCTTTCGCGCACACACGGTATTCTCTGCATTACATTAATGAAGTTATGTGATATAAATGATACGTGAAGTATATAAATATATATCAGTACTGTAAGTCACATACTTACCCGACTGCACGTCGTGCTCGGATTGACAATTGATTTTTAAGTAGGTGAAAATTGAGGCGGAAACGCGGTCGCGCGTTAAAAGGATGTGTGTCTACTCGCGGATGAATCCAGGAAATCAGTTCTTCGCGCGGTCAGACGTGCTCACTTGCGATCGCGAGCGCGAGTGACAATATTTGCGCGCTGCGCGCGGGTTCCGAGCTGCCCAAAACCACGACCACCTCCATGGGCGAAGAACCTGAGGCGTGGTTTCTAGGTGAGTCGGATGGGTTAGTGTATATAAGTGGGGAGTTACGAAGAGAGGAAACTGGAAAATCTCTGATCGCGGGAACGAACGACATTTGTTCGAAAATAACGCAAGCAATTTTTCGACGAAAGATTGAACAATCGTTCAAATGAATTTGCTTTTGTTTTTTGTCAATAAAATGGTATTTTTTTAAATTATCGCACGTCGTAGTTACGTATCTTTTAACTGCAGGCGACAAATTGGTCCAACTTTCGTCCGAAACCTGAATTGAATAACTGACTTCTTTTTGCACTTTCTGTCTGGAAATAAAAAAGTGATTGTAATTGATGGTCTGTCTTCCGTCTTTTGTAACGAGGTCGAGCGCAGTACAAATACTGCACCAATGTATACGGTGGTATACATTTTCGACTGTGTGTATTTAACATGTGACCACTGATGTGTACGTACATTTAAACGCATATCGTACAATTGTAGTCATTGCGACAGCAATGGAGTGAGATGCAAATGCGTACGTGTATAACTATAATAATATATTATCAAAAAAAAAAAAAAAAAAAAATTGTATGAGTAACTGATTTAAATAATAACGAATAATGAAAAGGAAAAAGCACGATTTCGGTACTTACACTTTCACCAAAATCATCAAGCTGTACACACGTGGTATTGCTGGAAATGTAGCATACCATTCCGAACACGAAGACACGATGGTATTTGTAGCGGAACAACATCAGACAGTTGTGTAAGCAAAGACGACGATTGAATATCTCGCATTAATCAATCAGCAGTTACACTTTTTTGCATTCGATTCCCTCCCCCCAAAAAAAAAAATTCCAATTTGATTTTCCGTCTCTCCTCGACGTGTCTTACGAATTCTCTTTCGACGAGAATTCAATAAAAATTCAAATTAATAATGAAGAAGAATAAGATTCTTCGGAGCTCGGGAAGTCTTTAAACTAATGAATGAATTGAATTCGGATTGTTTGAGCCGTTTTGCAGGATGTTGTGCAAAGAATATGCTTAAATATATATATATATATATATATATATATACATACACATATATTTAACAAAATAATTTTTTTCCTCCATATAGGATGCTGGATTTGCATCACGTATATATGAAGGACCCCGTATACCCCGCTCTAACTAATTTTAAAATATTGCGAAAAAAAATTGTCAAAACTTTCAATAAAAATGGGGTCAAAACTGTTTCAGACACTGTTTTAAAAGAAATATAAAACAAAAGAATGCCGTTAACATTCACGTGTGTGATTATTTTGATATTTTTCGAAATCGATATTCGCGCATCTCACACGACTTTTCCTGTGAGTGTGAACAGAAGTGGCCGCAGCTCGCGCCCCCACGAGCCTCGCTCTCGGCTCTTCTCTAACTAGGTGAACGTTATCAGCGCGTATCAGCGGCCAGTACGGTTCCATCCCTTCTGCAGAGACGACGCTGCCGGAGCAGCCCTAGTAGTCTGTGCTCCCACTTACTCGAACGGAGATGCTCGTTAACAAGTGTCATCGTGCGCTGAGCGTGTGGACTTCATCTCGGCAACTCCTAACTGGTATTTACAGTTTGTTTCTTTCATCGAACTTTTTTTATGTTAATTTGCACAGTGAAAACCAGTGAGAAACACGCTGTCTCAGTCGTGATGTTGCGTGGACCCTCGCGGTAAAATCGATAAATTCGTTCTGGCTCGCGTCGTTCCTACGTAAACCTGAAAGATGGAGCAAGAATTAAAAAAAAAAACAAAAAAAGAATAAACCGATAAAATATAATATTGCAGATAAAAACTAACACTGATGCACAAAATTCAATTTTTCGTATATCTTTGATAAAGCCTTTTTTGTCATATCTTTTGTCGTATCTTTAGCATGTATATACAATTGCATAAATGTCGTTAAGTTGTAGCTTTTGATACTTGTTATCTTATCCTAAAGGTCGAATCAATGCCGAAAGAAAAAAATATCCAATTCTGAGGAATGTTTAATTTCGACTTCGAATGTGTTGCTATGTGAATTTGAACCTGACTTTGTACACCATGCCCGAGAACTATACGTTCTCTTAACATTATAATATTCATTATTATTTAACATTATATTATAGAGATAAAAACTTATTCAAACTTATTTAATTAAAATTGTAAATGTTTTGACAAATACGTGGTTAATTATATATTCATATAATTAAGAAATCTAGATCAAATTGTTTTCATATATATATATATATATATAAATGTATTTTAATAAGTATCTAGATTTTAATTTTCAAGAGTTTGTATTGTCTGTTCTAGCATAAAAAAAGTGTATGCCACTCTTCTAGTTTTCTTTATACATCTCCGTCTTACATTATAGTCATTTACATAAGGGGCACGATACAAAATCATAGCGATATATCAAGCAATCATTCTTAACTGGCTTCAATAAAACTGGTCATCAGAACTGTTAAACGAGTTCAATGAGTTGTTTTTCTGCTTAGATTATGAACATCCGACAATCATCCAAAATACAGATAAATGCAGATATTTAAATTAAAAAAATACACAAATGTTATATATACAAGTGAATTATACGTGTGAATTGTACATTACATCTTAGAAACGATTTTAAATTGAGGAATATATATTGTTGTGCAGGCGTTGCAACGTGGAAAAGATGTTTGACCGGTTCAACACCGAAAGAACCAGAAAAGCCGGTAGTTGTGACGGAAGTGCCCGGTCCTCGATCACATACATTACTGAAAGAATTAAACATGATACAGGTGCGTCTATAAATATTCTAGACTTCTAGACGCTTTGGTTGTGTGAGATATAATGTTATCATCATGTAATTTATCCATTTAAACCACTTGTTGTCTATGGCTACGCTCTTATCGCGCTCTCATCGTTCTATTTTAATTTGGTAACGGTTTTTGTATTTATCAGTTTATTCGATAAAAGATAAACTAAAAAAACAATGGCTTCATCTACAAAAAAACGTTTCTTGATTATTTCGAATTAAACTCTCTCTTTGGCAGCTTGTTGTGTATTTTAGATATAATTTATATTTTTTTTCTCGGTTGAAAAAAATTCCAGTAAGAGTCGAACCGCGGTTTAATTCTTGTAATATTGTTACATGATTATTATATTATTAATTTCTTATAAAATAAAAAAATTTTTTTCATTTATTTATTATCTACATCTCAGGATAGAGATTGAAGTGAATAATATAAAATTTGTTTGTAAACACGTACACGTACAGAAAACAAAATGGATCACATTGTGTTGACTTGACTTCAATCTATGACTTCAGCAAGCATCATCCGTACAATTCTTCGCAGACTACGAAAAATCAGCCGGTAATTACATAATGGACGTTGATGGAAACGCGCTGCTGGACGTTTACATGCAAATCTCGTCGATGCCCTTAGGGTATAATCATTCGGCGATGTTGGAGGCTCTCGCCGATCCCGTTAACCAAGTGAGTGATACAGCTACCACGTCACGGAAAAAACAACGGAATTTCTTTATATATATACGCAATTTACATGTTTATCTCTTCTACATTATCATTTATATTGTACAAAAGTTTTGTAATTTACGATTAACTTCTCTATGATAATCCAATATTTTTTCAATTATCTGCAAATTATTTTTCGGCGACATTTGTTGATATTGCATTTTTTCCAGAAAATTATGGCGAACAGACCCGCATTAGGTGTCTTTCCAGGAAAAGACTGGCCTAGCAGATTGAGTAATGTTTTGCTCCAGAAAGAGGTAAAAATCCAAGTTTCATTTATCGTCGATATTTTTGTTATTCCGTTATTTCACGGATCATGTTTTGAACAGATCGCACCGCCCGGATTATCTCATATCACGACAATGATGTGTGGATCTTGTTCCAATGAAAACGCTTTCAAAAATATTTTTATCTGGTACGCGGGGAAACAGAGAAAAGGAGCGTCGTTTACGAAGGAAGAGATGGAATCGTGCATGATGAATCAAGTACCCGGCTCGCCGCGATACTCCATTATGTCTTTTAAAGGTGCCTTGTGCGTTATTAGAGAGCAGAAAACAATCAGTTTATCAAAATACACAATTTTTCTGAAATAATTTAACATCAACAGGTGCCTTCCACGGAAGAACCTTGGGCTGTCTCTCCACGACTCACAGCAAATACATTCACAAATTGGATATACCAGCTTTTGATTGGCCTATCGCGACTTTTCCACAGTACAAATATCCTTTGGAAGAAAACAAACGGGAAAATCAGCAGGAGGACAAACGTTGCCTCGCAGAGGTTGTTGTCATTTAAAAAAAAATTATTCTAAAATTAAATGTCGTTAAATAACAACAGAGAGTTATTAAGTAACTCTTTTCTGTTTTTGTTTTTTTTTAAAGCTTTACGTGTGTACAAGAGAGAACCACTCGAAAATGTAATTTCAGGTCGAGGAATTGTTCGAAAAGTACGAGAAGGAAAAACAAGTACCTGTGGCTGGTGTGATAATTGAACCTATTCAATCGGAAGGTGGCGACAACCACGCGTCGCCAGAATTCTTTCAGGAACTTCAACGTATAACACGAAAGGTAAAAAGGTATTCTTCAAGGCGTATTTAATTTTCCTACACTGTTATGAGATCATTCCAATGTCACAACTTTATCTTGAAACATTTCCAGCGCGGAGCCGCGTTACTTATCGACGAGGTGCAAACCGGTGGCGGGCCAACGGGAAAAATGTGGTGTCACGAGCACTTCAATCTAGATACGTCACCAGACGTCGTGACTTTCAGCAAAAAAATGCAACTTGGCGGCTATTATCACACAGAGGATTTAAAGTACAATCGTTTTTTTTTTGTTATGTGTGTATCAGAGAAAGACAACATTCGAGTTTAATTAATCACATATCTCTGCGTATCGCAGGCCGAAACAATCGTATCGCGTGTTCAACACTTGGATGGGCGATCCCAGCAAAGTGATATTGCTAGAAGCGGTCTTGAAGATAATCAAGAAGGAGAATCTCTTAGATAGAGTTACGCGGGTTGGCGACTACATGTTAAAGCATCTGATGGATATACAAAAGGAGCATTCTAGTGTGATAAGCGCCGTGCGCGGACGTGGGACTTTCATAGCATTTAATTGCACCTCGTCGGAAATGCGAGACGCTCTTATCAAAAAACTTTTGACCAAGGGTAAGAGATGCGTAAAATGACAAAAGTGTTGTAAAGCAGATTTGTTAAATTTTTCGTTTTTCCACATGTTAGGTATCCAGGCTGGTGGATGTGGCAATCAGTCCGTACGATTGAGGCCTGCGTTGACCTTCACAGAGCGTCATGCTGACATATTTTTGAACGCGCTTCGTTCCGTGCTAAAAGAATAAGGATGATCTATTTAACAGAATAAGAACGTTCTTTGTCTTCCAGATTAAATGTCTTCCATTAAAGAATAATTATTATATCACAATGTACGAGAATGTGTGTATAAATATTCATTATTTTTGTATGGCAGTTACAATTTATGCAGATGACGTAATTGAAAGAAAAACTCAAGAATAATGAATTATGAGAGAGGTTAATCAATTTGTTTTGTATATATATATATATATTAAGTTTATATGTACATATATATGTATAAAATATTACAGAAAATGCGAAATACTACAGTAGAAATATATTTTTTAACAAAGTTTTTGTCACTTACGTAAATATCTGGATAATACTTTTATTGCACGAACGTATAAATTTTTATACATTGATTATACATTTTGTACAATATTCATTTCTAGTTTGGAAAACATGATGTGTGTGTATATATACACACAGCCAAGTTTCGTAGTATGGAAAAGGACTGATTTCTTTTGAACAAATAAATCGAAAATGTAGAAAAAGAAGTTTTTGCACGAGACTTAGTTTCCGACTCGAAATCTTTCAAATTTCAAATTTGAAAGATTTTGAGTTTTGGTTAAAAAAATATTATTCTATATTTTCGACTTATTTTTTCAAAAAGAATTAGCCTTTTCTCGATTGTATTACTGAACCATAGTCTGTACAATATGGAGATTAATTTGTTATTACCAATTAATTATTATAATTTATATCCTTTTGTTAATTTTGTTTCATTACTGTTGCTGATTGACTTGATAGAAAAGACTAGTTAGAAAAATTATTGTGTACAATTTTAAAATGTCTTCCAAAGGAACTGCCAATAAAATATATTTAAACTATGTTGTGATTGTTAATAATATATTACTGTCAATTCATTTCGACATTTTTCTAAGTATATCAGCAAAATGTTCGTATTCTCGATGATGACTTTTCTGTGTCATGTAAGCTTTTATCCTCATCTGCAAAAAAATAATCGGAAAAGATTAGAAACAAATCTATATATGCAACATTCAAAGTTCTGATTAATACGCATAATTACTGTCACTTTAGTATCCACTGCGTTATGCCGTTGTGACAAGTGCCACAAATTTATAGATATGTTTGCCAACGCAGGATTTCTCAAATCTGCACGGATAATAAAACAGTTGAATAGCTCAAGCGCTAGAGCAGATTGTTTGTCAAGTTGCTCAGTAGATCCAAGATGTTTGAGATGATTTAGAAGTTCCTCGACAATTTTCGAACAAATTTTATTGACCTCGCCAATAAATTTCTGATCGGATCCGTACAATTTATCGTTCGAATCAACCTGCAAATACAAACGAGCGAAACCTTTTCTAATTAATTTCTCAAGTTTCTTTGATACACTGTGATACATATCGCATCAATTTGCTAACTTTATAATTACAGGAAAACATTAAGTACCTTGTCAATGTGATACGGATAATTTTCCTGTGCTACAGTTGAGAGAAGATCGAGTACACGTAAATACAAATACGACTTGATCAAGGCGTTTTCTTCGAAACAACGTTGAACCGCATTGAGCAAACCTCTCATTAAATACAAGACGCCGTGTTCTGGGCTATCCTAACATAACATATCAATCTTACAATTGTTTGCAATTGAAATGTGTAATAGGATATATACACACATACTGGAACTACTAGTAATGTTGATAAGAAACTCGACAAGTATGAGAGCAAATATGGTTGCGAATTTTTTTGTCTTCCATCAATATCAATGGTTTTCGGCATTTCTGGTACTAAACTTAAAGCGGCTTTGAAACAGGCATCAGCTGAAAAATGCCCATTTGAATACACAAAGTGATGAAGTTATAATAATATAATAATAATAATAATTATTATTATTATTATTATTAATAAAAAGAATAAACAATAAAAGAACTACTACTTTGTGGCTTACCTTGACCTAGACATTGATTTAAAAGAGCGACTTGTCCAGATAATAGATATAATTGAAGGCGCGTGTGTACAAAAGTTAGCGAAGGTATAGTAATAAAACAGAATGCAGCACAGGCGCGCACAAATGCCGACGTTCTTCTCGTGTGATGGCCACGCACTATCTTCCTAGTATCAACTGCTAATCTATTTACACACTTAACATAGATAAGCGAATTGTAATTTCTGTAGTAGAGAATATTTCTTCTATTTTGACATAAATTGGGACTTAAAAAACCACTATTGATATTGTATAGGTCATACCTGTACAAGTTGTATATGAACACTATCAAGATTGGGAAATGCCGCTCTAACTTCTACGTAAAAACTAAGTTGCTTCTCAAAATCGCGACCGTAATCTACTCGTTGTACTAGGCCACATATCAGTTGTCCGATTTGTCGCTTTTCATCTTCGACAGTCAGAGCACTGTGCGATGCGTATGTTTATTTGATTTTGACAAAAGATTAGAACGTGAATGAATTGACGTACCTAACAGAATCGTGCATTATCCTTGCAATAAACATCAGAGCATTTATAATAATGGGATCCGTAATAGGTCCGCTCTGCGTACTCAATCCTTCTATGACAGTTTTACAAACTTCAACTTTAATGCTTTCTTTGTGAAACAAATCGATTAAAGGCAAAAAATTGTCCTGAAAATATTGAAAATGTCTGTATATTGTAAGTTAAAATCATAAAACTGCATATCAAAAGAGAAAATAGAGAAAAAAAAAGATAAAACAGAGAAAAAGAAAACACTTACTACGGCGAGCAGAGATTCAAAATCTTGCGTATGAGCAACTATCTTTTCAATAATATTCTGTAACTGTGAGTAATAGTTTTCAAAAGTTTTGTTCGGTCGTAAACAGTCTATTATCTTGCCAAAAAATAAATTCAATTCGTTTACCTGTTCAAATAACACAACATAGTTATCACAACAATCTGTTCTAAATGTTTACTATATGTGTACTATATTATATGTTCAACCATTATCGCAATCTATATTAACTCACAGAAAAATGTATGACTGTGAATTGAATCCAAATCTCAATGCAATGCATAAATTTGTAGGGATCTGTAAGGTCCGTTATATATTTCCACACTACGTTCAGTACCGATTGACAGTCTTCTTTTGGTGGAGATTCTTTTATAAGACACTCTCCCAAACTTCGATACAGAAGATACTGAGGATATCCTAGTAAATTTTTTGGAGAAATAGAGACATTTCTTAAATTAAATGCATTGCTATCGCTGATTTTTTTCTGTTTTAATTTTTTGAAGCTCTAATTACCATCGTCTTCACTCTTCACTATTAAATTTACAAAGTTCATAGCACGTGCGGCAATGTATGTTGGTTTAAATGCGGTCAATATTGTATTTAATAATAACGATCTATAAAAAAAAAAATTATATATGTAAGCTACTAGGTATAAGTATTTCTATGAAAACATATTAAAACTGCGTTCTATAAAATCTGATTATACCCATTCTCTTGTTTTGTACATCGCGATACAACTTCCTCCAATAGGCTCTCAGGTGACGTTGCCACCAAAACTTGTACGATCCAATCCAAAGCTGGCGAATAAAGATTCAGATACGAATGCAGACTAATATTTTGCTTCGCTAATTCGTTTTTCACAGCAGTTCCGAATAGTTGCTGATACGTGAAAAGAAAGTCGTACAGATTTTCTCTCATAAATTCAAAATCTGATGTTTTATTCAATGCTAATCCGACGCGACATAGATAGCATCTCGCATAAACTGCTATTAACGGGTTTCCGATTCCTCTTATCATACGAGTTATACGCAGTAAAGCAATGTTAAACTCACTAAAATAAATATGTCAAACAGTAATAGTTTTATCTCTTTCACAATTACAAATATAAAAATATTACCTTGTCGTTAGAAAACTATATGATTTTATTATTGCCATTTCCACATAGAGACGCGGCACCAATTCGCGTATAGAAGCAATTTTGTAAAACCAATTTTGACACGTTTCTTTAGCGTTTTCAGGAACCATGTTGGGTGTAAAATTGTCAGGCAAGCTCGTAGGCACTTTACTTCCTGGTCTAAATTGAAACGTTTTCGCAATTAGAAAATATAAATAAAGTTCAGAGAGAGAGAAAATGTTAGCAATTACATCATGTGTTATGATAAAAATATAAACTGTATGTTCTTCACAAATAATAATCTTGTATAATTACTTGTAGTATTCAGCTTTCATTTTCAGTCTGTCATACACAAGTTTTCCGAAAATATCCAAAATATCTGTTATGAGAACAAACTTGCTTGGATAAAAAGCCATTACAGATACATCTACTAATAATTTGGCACACTGAAATAGTTCGATATTTATATTAAATTTTCAATTTATAAGTTCTGTCTCAGTTTTAAATAAATACACCAACCTGAATTGCAATTTTAAGTGCTTTTACTCTTTGATCGGAATGCCAAGCTTGTACTAATTCATTATTTAATTGCTCGATTCGCGCGGTATACTGTTGTTGCGATAAGTCTAACATTTGTCGAACAGAACCTTCTTCAAAATCATCTAATTGCTCAAGTCGAGTTTTTACCTTGTCAACCATTGGTCCACTTGGCTGAACTTTTACAACGACTGTAGATAAAAAGATAAATATAATAAATGTGAATAAAAAAAAGAAACGTGACTTGTATTTAAAAAAAAGTTACACAAAGTTTATGAGTCAATAACTTTTTCATAAACCGCACACCTTTTTCACCGCCCGGTAGAAAACTCGTGACAATTGATAATTTTTCAGAGGTTGTATATTTGCTCAATATAGCAGAACGTCTTACAGACCATGGTTCTACCAATTCTTCTGCAGTGTCTTTCAATTTTTTGCCAGCAAATGCAACATTAGAATAGTCCCACTATAACATAAATAACATGTATTATATGAAAAATAAAAATTAGTAAATACTGTTCTTTTAAAAATATCACTATATTTCAAATTATGTGTTACTTCATCTGCAGCCATTTTAGAGAGAGGATCTAATTCTTCTCGTGCAAATTGTGTAAGAGGATCAGAACCATCCAGAGAAGGATGGTTCAATAATGGATCATTTAATGGATTTATGGGAGCTGTATGTGTTGGTGTTGGTGTCCCAGTAGATGACCCAGTGCTTGTACTTCGAAATGTATTACGTCTGACTACATTACGTCCATCTATCATCTAGACAAATAATAGAAAAATATACGTACAAAATTATTAATATACAAAAAATTTATTATTTATAAAAAAAATTTTTTGTATATTATAATGATATCTTACAGTAACTACAACTGGTTTCAGAGGATGATCTGTAGTTTCTTCTAGACATGCAGACTTCACAGTTCCATATTTGATAGGTTTTGATATCCTGTATTATAATAAAAATTTTATAACAAAAGTCTTGTATTAAAGACATTTCAAGATTATTAGCAAAATATAAATTATGAATGTAATATACTTCTTATTCTTAACATTAAATATTATATTTTTTTTCTCACCATTCTATCTCCATCATTATAGGTTATAGATTGTATTAAAATTGTTTATTTTGTTTGTATGTGTATGTACATGCAGGGAATCATATGAAATGTTACGCTTTTAACGGACTTCCGCGGCATCCGCCCATACAGCTGATACACCAGTAATCATACGGAATGTTGGGTGTACACAGAAGTGCACCATATCGTGCGGCTCCAAGGGAAATATTTCTCCCAATTTCTCAAAAATTTCTCTTTTAACTGCTTCTACTACTGCGCGCCATTTTTCTTCGGTTTCTGCCAACGGCTCGAGATCGAAGGAGAACGGCGAGCGGTAGTAGGAACAGCCAGAGGAGAAATTTCCGAGAAATACTTCCCCTAGAACCGTACGATATTGTGCACTCCATTGTACCTAACTTAAACTTTGTGTCAAAATTTATTGCCAGTAAAATCTATAGTTGATGTCGCGTTTATTAAACGTTCAGTATGACAGTGAATTTTGAAACACATTATAGCATTACAATATAACATCTCTTCCCTCTTTTTCTATCGAAAAATTTAATTTTATTATATGTCTTTATTATAATTCCGTTGGGGCTTGTGTTCATGATGAAAAAATCAATTTAAGATTTCAAAGAGAAAAACAATTTGAGAGAGAGAGAGAGAGAGAGAGAGAGAGAACTAATTGCAGTGGTTAATTACTCGAATTTGATTGGATTATTTTCTCTCTCTCTGCAAGATTTTGAACCAATTTCTAGCATATAAGTACAAGCCCTTAAAACGTTTTTAGAGAGAGAGAGAGAGAAAGAAAGATGAAAACACATATATAGAACATAAATAAAACTTAAAAAAAATACATAATGAAGTTTCTGATAGAGGAATTTATCAACTTTATCGGGACTGTAAATATAGGATGGAAGAAATTTAGCAACACCAATGTTACTGTTGCATTCATAATTATTTCAGAATATATTAATCATTTATAATATTATTACACATAACTGCAATAATAGTCATAGTAGTAATAATGAATTCATGCTTCTTCCTAACTTATTATATGTTATAATAAATTAATATTACGTTTCTATATAAACAGAATGTATATAAGTAAAAGAAGTTATACAATAAAAATAATAATAATTCTATAGAATTATATATTTTTGTGTATAGAATATTAAAAACACAGCTGAGATAAAATTTAAAATTTACTTTAACATAGAAAAATAGTTTTTTATAACTTATCCACATTGCGACCGTAAGTTTTATAATAACGCAAATACTTCGAACATGATTGAGAGTAATATCAGTTATCTTATTAAGTACGTACAAGCATAAAGCATTTTTTTCCCGTATGTACGCTTTCCCTCGTTTTTACGTTCTATCTTGTATCCAGCTCCTAATATTAAAAATACAAATCGATATTTTTTTCAAATTGTCGATGATAGTGGGAGCACGATTTAATCAGAGGGAAAAGTAAGAGATACGTGCCGTTTAAAGGACACGACAGTCTCACTAAGTTAGCTTCTCCGTTGTTTTTTTTTTNTTTTTNTTTTTTTTTTTTTTTTTCAACCGAGAGCTTCAAGGTACTTAAAGAGCGAATAAGGACTTGTCTTGATCTTTGTTAATCTGGCGTTGAATGTTTTGGGTGCTAGTAGTTGAAGAGTTCGTGGTGGCAGTTGTGGTTGTGGTAAGAGTTGGTAAAGCCTCAGCAGCTGCTGCACGTTCGGCTAAGAAACGTTCAAATTCTGACGATGTCAATGATTCCTGATCTCCTTGTCCTCCGGGCTGCAATATAAATTACACTATTCGTCACCGGTATTCTTATCAAATCTACAATTGGTAAAAAAACATGCCGCAATTTCCTAAAATTACATAAGTAAGGTTTGTAAGCAATTTTAAGTTTTGTTCTTTTATAATATTGTCTTTCCTTCGCTTTCTTTTCTCTTCTTTCTTCTTTTCTCTAATTATAAAACGTTGACTAAAAACCTTACACCTAGAATACACTTACTGTGCGATCCAACCAAGCAGCCATTTCATTGAATTCAGATTCCAAGTTCTGCTTTAGTATTGAGAGAAACAAACACAAACATTGAAAACACGATAAAGAAATATAATATAAATAATAGTTAATAATTTATATTAATAAAACAAATAAGTAATAATATAATCAAAACTAAAATTTGTCAAGCTTTTTATATAAAAAGCAATGTGCGTGCAATTATGAAAATGATATTTAACATACAATGCAAAGAAATGAGAAATTTAAACCAAATTATTAAGAAAAGAAAGTGTAATGAACGACGAGTCTTAATTAGTTCGAAAAGCAAAGAATGTTACGCACACTAGCACTAGCAGCAGCCTGCTGAGGTGTTTTAGGGTTACTGCGATTCAGAATAGCTGTGCTTAGACTTCCTCCTCTCACCTGTTCCAAGTTATCCTCGTATTTGCTGCCACTGTGATTACAAGATACATTAAATTATTTTATTCGATAAAAATATCTTATATGAACTTTATATTAAAGCAAATTAATAATTAGAAATTTTAAATAATCAAATAATATATTATATAATAATATATATACCTATTTTTTGTTGTTTCATATGTTGCATTGCGCGACTGTGCAAACATATCAAATTCATCACTATCTCCCTCTTTTTTTTCTTTTTGGTCTGGTTTACTTTTGCTCGTACCTTCAGCTGTACCTATTGTTGAAAATAAAATACAATTAATCCTGAAAGTTTTTATATTTTCTCTTAGATTTACATTTTCTTAGATATATATTTTCTAGATTAGGTTTTTACGAACGCGCTTACTGAGTTTGCTCATCTGTTTTATCGCATCGTCCACATCAGATAAATCTATAAGCGATTCTGCTTCACGTTTAGTGAGAACTGGAGTCGATTCCGTATGTGGTGGTTGTCCAATTGTCTGAGCTAATATAGTACTTGCCGGAACTTGTGTCTTATTTTTCGTATAACGCGAATAACGAAGAAATAGATTGTTCAAGTCATCGTTAATGCGTAGCAATTCGGCTGTCATTTCATCATGGACTAATTTACCAATTAAATCAACAACTCGCTCCTGCATTGCTTTACATGTTGAATAAAGTTCCTAGAAGTAATTAAAACGTATTATGAAATTAGTATATGTATTCAAATTTATAAAAACTTATTTCTTCTCTTTCTCATAATAAATATATAATAACATAAAAAAATGTAAAGATTTACAAGTAAGAGATTCATACGTTCATAAGTTCAAGATCTGCAGAATCTGGTTGTTGTTTATTTTGTTCCAGACTTGTAAAGTACATCAGCATTTCCGATAATACACGCATGTTTCCTTGAACAACGTCAAGTTCACTTTGCAATTTGGCCAACTGTTGCTCATTTAATTGAGTTAACTGCCCAGCGGATTGTGAGGCTTGCGGAGATAAATGTTGTGTTCCCAAAGAAGCGGGTTGTTCATTTGTAGCTAGACTTGTCGGAATTTGTTCTGTTTCAGGTACACTCTACAAACATATCATTCAGAAAAAAAAATAATTTTTTAATTTAATTAAACAAGTAATATGTTATCTTTGTCTTATTTTTTTCTCACTCTTTCTGGTGTAATGATTGGTGCCATAGCATCAAGATCAGTCATTGGAAATTGTATGCCTTTTGCCTTCAATTCCTGATAAACTTGCACAACACCTTGAGTATGTGGTTGATGACGGAATGTATCTGCCCATGTTTGGATCAAACTTAAAACTTTCTCTTGTACTGCAGTCGGTGGTTCATTTTTGGGACCTATTAGTTTAACCAAGTCCTGCACAAATTCTCTTGAACAAGCAAGAGTATGAAAGCGTTTTCCACAATTTTTTACACATGTCTCCAACACCTGTTTATACGTATAGCATTATTATAATTTATTTATATAATTATACAATAAACATATTAAATACTTGTAATATGTTAAATTTATATTCAATAAGTTGATTGTATTGACATGTGTAGACATCATTATATTTTTTGTAGATAGAACAATATAGAACAACTAATCTAATTGACATTAATTGTGTAAATTGACGGAAGGTCAGAAATATCAAGTAGCACTTGACTATAGCTCATAACATTATGTTATTGTTACATAGACATTTATAAAGCTAGCATATTGTGCATTGAATTATGACATCAGAACAAAGCTAGATAAGTCATTAGATCAGAATGAAGTTAGATAAGATTAAACAAACTTTGTCATAGTGACTAATCTTATGACAAATAGTATTATATACTACGTGATACTAACTGTAAGTGTATACATGACTACAGTATAATTTTTGCCTGCTGCTTGATTGAGTCTGCGCTTAATTGCTTTAATAGCATCTTTTGGCCCATCTTCAGTTTCATTTATAATATCACATATCTCCATGTTAAGCGTCCAATTTTCACTTGGTAAACTGCCATCTGTAGCAGACTCTGAAATAACAAAAAAAAAAAACATTGAAAACACACTGCAAACTTTGCTACTGCCTTGATGACTTGTCTAGTAATTGATATGTGTTGCTGTCCTTCACAATTGAAATGAGTCATCGAGACAGTGGATAAATGACAGTTTTTATGTCAGAGTATTCACACAAGTGCATTTAGCAATCTAATTGATTTTCCGACATCAGAGCTTACGAAAAAAAACAATAAGTATGATCAGTATTTAATACTGAGGAATATGCCAAATAAATTACTTACCGATCTTTTGTCCTACAGGTGTAGAAAAGGGGTTGCCTACTCCAAAAAGTGACATTTTCTCGGAATACGTAGAACAAATTGCGTTATTAATTGTCACTTTTCTACTGTTTGCACTCACTCGCATACGTATACGTAAAACGCACCTGATAATCAGCGATAACGGATGACAATTGGTGTGCACTGACAATTTGTTAATCTCGCGTAATACCGACTAACAGAATCATATGTATACATACATATGACCTACGCAACGGTAAAGGCAGACATCAAAATCGCAAATGTCACAAAACTGCGTGGCCACCAATCAGAGCACTGACATTCAAGCATTAAGCGCAAAACGACCTTTAAATAGATCTCTGCATACGTTTCGCTCTTCTGCCTTTTCTCCCTTCGTCCGAGACGCGTATGTACGCTCTTCTTGCTTCAGTGCGTAGAAAGTGATAGAAAGTGCGTGAAAGTGTCGAACGGAATAGATCTTGATGTTACGGATGTATATCATTCGGAGCCACTCATCATCTCCGATTACCTTATCGACTCGTTCGTGCCAATGGAATTGACTAATCGCATCAGTTCTTTAATAGACCTGACCAATAATGTTCGACACGTCGACTGTGGTAGCTTTAATCGATATAATGGCACAGAAATATCGAGATCATATTTTGTAATGTTCTTATCAGATCATCAGATTGAGATCGAATTAGAATTTCGACTAATCGAAACAAAAAAAAATTAATTTCAAATTTACCGAACTTGGATCTGATTGGGTGAATTTCGATCTCTAATTCTAATCCGATACGGGCTTTAGCAAAAATCCTGGCCTGTGATATAGCCTTAATACAGATCCGAAGAAACACGAAACTAGCCGAAGTGAATATATTCTTCTTTATCTTATCGGTAATCTCATGTATATTACGTGCATATATACACATACCTCGCAACAATATGCTCCGTCCTTGTATTTCTACATCACAAACACAACAAATCCGTTCAAAATACGAATTTTTGTGCTACATTATTGACTATATCGTTGAAGCGTAGAAAATGATAATCAATTACAGATTAGTTGTTGAACGATACGATTGCGTGACATTTTGCCGCACTGATCGCAAATCATTCTGAAACTATAACGATATTTTCATACATGTCAATTCTTGCTGTTTGTTCGATATACGTTCAACGATATATATTCGAATCACTTGACCGTGATGCTATTTCAAGAGTGAATGCCGGATAAAAAATTTCGACACTTGCGATATAAGAGTTCTACACCAAGTGTGAATTGTTATTAACAATATATCTTATAAATTTATATTTATTTTTCTCCATACTTTGTATGTGTGTAAGAGGCATGTCTGCAATCTATATGTATACAGAATGCATTTTTACTTCATGTTCAAGGAAACAGACCCAGATTATTTATGTGCATATATAAGCTGCATATAATAACTGCAATCAAGCTGTGTTTGAAAATTTACTGTCAACATTGAAAATCCATAGTTAGTACATATTTCAACACATATATTTTATGCATGTTTATGCGCTAGTGTAAGATTGTACAGAGATAATTTTTGTTTTTGCAGTGTCAATGTAAAGATTATTTATTCTTCATGACATCAGCAGAACATTTTATCAGTCTTATAACAGTAGCAAGTGCAAAGAAATTAGCTACTGCACTTGTTATCTGTTTTATTGTATACCATGGAGTCATACATCTTATTTATGGTATGATACAAACATTTTGCTTAATGTTATTCTATATATATTTAATAAAATTTTGACATTTTAATTCATTTTACACATAAATTCTTTTATGAAAAAATAATTTTAGTAGTTATAGTAATTTTTGTGATACTTGACTTAAAGTTTAATTAAATTTTAATTATTTACTTAAAGTTTAATTAAATTTTAATTATTTACTGAGAATCTTTCTAAAGAAAATATTTACTTGTGAAAAATACATTGCTAGATACTATCATATTTTGTTTTTGTAGGTAGTGATTCGTGCAAATGGTTATTGATGGAAGGCAGATATAAAGGAGATAAAGAATGGCAACCATACGGATGCATGATGCATCATTATACACAAACGTAAAACATTATCATCTCTTTAATCTGATAACTCTCTTTATAATTTCTATATATTAAAATTTAATTATTTTCTTTTAGAGACAGCAGAAGATGTATGAGATATCTAGCTTTCATGGGCCACCATAATCATTTTGTATTCACTGGCGATGCTAGAATAAGACAATTATATAAATCTTTTGTTTCACAATTTATGGTTGATGGCAAAGCCTCAGATCTCACGGAGTTGCCGGAAAATTCCGACTTGGGGTTCAATGATGGGCAGCTGAAGTTAAATGTACAGTTTTTATGGAGACCGCGAATTGATAATTCTATGATAGCTGATCTCAGAGGCTGGATGGTAACACATATACATTATATGTTATATAGTATTGGATAGTATATATATATATATATATATATATAAGACTGTGAGAAGAACCAAATAATGAAATTTACTCATTCTTGACGATTTTTTTTTTTTTTACAGAATACAGATGCGCCTAGTGTTATTGTCGCAGGTTCCGCTGCAGCTGCAATTCTTGCAAACAATAACAGTGATACACAGCTTTATTCTGAATATAATACGGGTTTAATTCGACTGGTACAGCCAATAGACATTCTGACTAAGAAAGGATCTCAGTTTCTGTGGGTCGTACAGGATCCTGTGCTTAAAGAAAGACTGCCTGCACAATTATCAAGTTTAGACAACAAGCAGATCAATTTGTGCAACAAAGCCGCTGAAAAAGTAACACCGATTCAAAATCTTTTTTTTTATCTGATAATATAAAGAAAAAAAAATCAATACATTATAATCGCCGCATTCAGATATTGTCTCACAGTGAGGCTCGTATATGGCAAAGCAGCAGATTGGTCGGCACAGGAGTTCTCGAACAAAGTCCGGATGGTTATTTGGCGAGTCCGTTGTCGCTGCGACATAAAGTTCAAATACTTTTGAATACATATTGCAATGATCACATGAACTTCGATGACGGCAGTTGTTGCAGTTATCCCGAACCGGCAACTACTCTGCAACTGTTAAGTTTGTCCGCGCTTGCATTATTGTAATTAAAATTTTGAACTCTTATTCATACATGTTCATGCGCAATACGCCTAAATTATATACTGCTTTTGAAGAAAGTAAGTAAGTGATAATTTGTTATAGTATAACAATAGGAGGAAGTGTATGGTTGTACAGAAAATCATGCAGATATCGGCCTGAAGCGTCTTATTCTCATGTTACTACTGAAGAAACAGAAGATACAGAGGAAGGAGGTATTTCAGAGATCGTTCAAGTCAAACAACCTGAAGTACAAGATTTTTATACTCTTATTACATCACTAGCTCTCTTCTCAATTATATTAGCATATTTTTATTTGTGCGACAGGTAAATAATAACATTCTTAATTTTATTTCCTCTCACATTTTCTTTTGACATATCTTTCTCTTTTTATGTTTATTAATATCTTCGATAACTCTTTTATTTTGCAGAACAAATTTCTTCATGAAAGAAAACAAATATTACAGCGAATTCAGTTTTTGGTTGCCGCTTGGATATATCTTAGCTCTCGGATTATTTTTTACTGAAGATCGCGAAAGAGGGCCGAGGACATTAAATAGAGAGCAAACAGATGAATGGAGAGGTTTGATGCAAGCGGTTGTGCTCATATATCATGTTACGGGTGCCAAGAATGTCTTACCGATTTACATGTACTTAAGATTAATTAACTCTGCTTACTTATTTCTATCTGGTTATGGACACTTTTGTTACTTTTGGCAAACTGGTGATGTGTCTCTTGTCAGATTTGCCAGAGTACGTATAAGAACAATTACGACCGAATAAAAAGAAATTTTAATGAAAACGAAGGAGATTTCGTTTACGATCATATCTAATTGGCATTTTTTTGTTTTTTTTTCAGGTCATGTTCAGATTAAATTTGTTAACGGTGTCTTTATGTCTTTGTATGAACAGGCCATATCAATTCTATCACTTTGTCCCATTGGTGTCGTTCTGGTTTCTAGTGATTTATTTTCTAGCCTGGTTACCGCCTCGAATATATTCCGGAAGTTTGGCGGAATACGGTCCAAGAGCTTTGCTATATTTCGCTCTAAAACTTTTGGGCCTCACCTCGATAATTACTATATTATATATGTCAGAGGTAAAAATGTGAAGTATTGTAATTCGTATCACAAAATAAATTTGAAATTGCAAGAGATGTAACAAAAATTTTTCAACGCAGGTCTTCTTTGAGAAAGTTTTTGTCACGAGACCTTGGAAGGCGTTATTCGTGACGACTGACGATGATATTCGCGAATGGTGGTCACGTTGGAGAGTCGACAGATACAGTGTAGCTTGGGGTTTAACGTTTGGCGCTGGTCTCGTCGCTCTTCAGAGACTAGACCATATTCCAGGGACAGCGTTGTCCTCATTGCTGGCCTTGCTTTCCTTAATAGCATATACCACTTTTACAATATTGTGTCATTCTGTATCAGAGTGCGAAGAAATTCATTCATATGTCGCTTTTATTCCGGTAAATTACTTTTAATTTTTTTAAATTATTTATTGTTTCTCTTCGTATGTGCTTTATTCTTTTTTTTTACTATCTACTAATATCACTATTACTATTAGATTGTAGGATATATCGCTTTGCGTAATGCTTCTTTAGCACTACGTGGAAAACATTCCGCACTTTTAGCCGGATTGGGCAGAATAAGCTTGGAAACGTTAGTTGCACAGGGCCATATCTGGCTAGCAGCAGATTCACATGGAGTGCTTGTCCTATTACCTAGATTTCCAGTATTGAACCTGTTGGTTTCATCGTTCATTTTCATCTGTGCCAGTCATGAAGTAAATATAGTATACAGTTCTCTTTTGTCATTTTATAGAAAAATTATAATTTCAATATTGTGTAGAGACATAAGAATTTAGATACATTTATATAAATGTTTTGTTTTATTTGATAAAAAAAATTTTATCTTCTAGATTCATAGGTTAACACGTGTTTTGGCACCATATGCGGTACCTAATGACTGGAAGCTAGTGGCTCGTAATCTGCTACTATTTATAGCTGTGCTAGTACCTATTGGCATTCATGACGGAATGTTTTAAACTTCTTGGAAGCACCAGTTTTATAAAAGTAAAATTTTTAACAGACAGTATTAATAGAAACTGTAAAAAGTTTCATATTATATGTATAGTCCAATTGGAGAGTTTATGTTTAGATAGAACAAAAGAGATATACACGCTTTCTTATGATAAAAATGACGAAAAAATAAGAAAGTCGCATATATCAATTATAGAATTATAGAATTATCTTAAAAAAGCTTGTTTTTGTCTATTTATTTGTATATTAGTAACTTATAATTTATATACATTTACAATTTAAATAAATTATAAAACATCCTACTATATACATGTACAGTAAATAAATTACTCAATTGAAAAGATTAATGAGATAAATATGTCACCGCAGATTATGAAACTTTTATCTTGACAAAGAAGGTCCTAATTGTTATTTAAATCCTAAATTATGTACTTCAGCAAATTTACACATGTTTTGTGCAAAGACATTTGTTCTAGTAATAAAGTTATACATATGTGTCAACTTTCAGCTGTTTCTGTATTATGTTTTACATGACTGGTGTACACATCGTATCCAAGAGATACCATATTGTCATAAAGGACTCTGTAACGTGTGGGAAGCCAGTAAAAATTAATAACTTGTGCTGGAGGCCATATAACCCATTCGGCTATGTACAGTATATGTGCTTTTTTTCTAATTTCATTCTTAAAATCTGTCCAGTTGCTATTCTCCAGTACAGCTAGTGTTATGAAAAACATACTTATGCACATAGGCGAGCAAATTAATTGATCTATAATCACTTTTTTCAAAACTATACCAATAGTGCGTCCGGCCAATCTAGCATCTAAAAAATTGTACCAGTAGTGACAGACTATTCCTATGGACATACCAGATATTGCCATGTTTCTTGTTCTAATAAAGCTCCATTTATCCCATTCACCCTAAAGCATAAAAAAAAAGAGCTGTCATCTACTAAATACAACTTTTAGATTAGAAATATTAATATATAATATTTCATATGATTATTGTCATGATTTTTTTGTGTTAACAAACCTTTAATATTTCGTAATGTTGCTCTAAAATATCTCCTGTACCAGACAGAGATGTCGATATTGCTACATTTGTATACAATAAATTTTTTGGTGAGAACAAGCGATCTTTTAGATGATTTACTTTACCAAAAACTAGGCATATTCCTCTTGTAATATTCATTGCCTAAAGTATAAAATGTTACATTATTTCATTTAGTTTTTTTTTATTATTGTACTTGACTTTTCAAACTTTAGTCCAACAAACGCTAATCTGTTTGTATATACATATGTATCCTGATAACCTCAACATACTCTACGTTCTACACACAAGTATTATATAAGACCGCACAAAATCTTATATTATTGTAACAGAAATTAAATACTACAAACATATTAAAATTATGGACTAGTAAATAAAAATAAAAAAGAAACAAAACTGAAAATAGTGTATGTTGCATGATACACCAGAGACTCTGAAGAGATTACATTACCTCCTAAATAAATTTGTGTTGTAGATTAGAGCAAAGAAATTTTTAATACCATTACAGTTATCTCAATAAATTAGGCAAGCTACACGTTTACGATAAAAAGATTGATCGTTATTATTTGATTTTTGTCGTAATTGTAACATCGGTATCTTTTTCTCACGTCCTCGTGACCACTACAATATCTACTAAGGTAGCTAATATAATTTTCTGTTAATTATTTTGTGCAAAATAAAATTTCATTCATAATTTCATTCATAAAATAATTTTTAAATAATGATTAGTAAGATATACCAAAGCATTGAAAGATTTATGTCAAAAATAGAATATTACAGTAAAAAATCAAAAGTCCGAAAGACGTCGTAAAGATATTTAAAAGACGTCGAATTTAAGACAACTTTATTTTAAATATCTTTTCGACATTTTTCAGACTTCTATGCTATGTCCGAGTATTCTACTGGATGTCGTAAAGACATCTTCAGGACGTCTTTTAGACAAGTTTGTTATCTTTCACTATTACCGACCAACAGTAATGTTGAAGTTTGCCGCGTTTTGTTATTATTGGCAGTGTTAAAAATTTATATTATCTATTTTTTTAATTAAAAAATAAAACACATTGCCACACAAAGCATATAAGATTATATTTATTGTGATCGCGCCGAATTTTTTCAACAAAAACGAGAACGCGGTTGTTCTGCCATCTAACGGCTAGTTGTTTAAGGTAGGATGTCAAAACTCTTGTTGTCATAGTAACAGCGGGCTTATTTACTCATGTCAGTCAGAATTCGAATCGCAATTCCGTGCGCAAATGTTTGCACTTGGTTAAACGCTGATTTTTCGTCTTTTTACGCGTGTATGTCGTCTTCGCGATGAACATCGACGTAAGCACGACAAGTCGCGCGAACGCGAGAGACTTCGATGATGGTTTGATCACAGACTCAAGTTCGACATTAGCGGATAAGTATTGGGAGGATGAATCGTACGCGATTGAAAAATTCACGAATGACGACTACTTCGAAGAGATCGATAAAACTAAACCGGATGTGAGATCCGCCGAGGAAATTTTGCAGCAGGTGCAACGCGAATTATGTCTGATCAAATTGTGCTGGCCAGATGCGCCATTGACGGAAGACCTTTATCTGAAAACGCTTCCGGATTCGTATCGATGTGTCAATGACAAGGAGAAATTATCGCTGTGGTACGCGGAGAATTTTCGTCGCCAGTTTCATGCGAAATTCCCTGATCGCCGACCGCTCTTATTAGCACGCGAAAACGAATGCGGTGTACAAGTAGGTGCAAACACATCAATTTACATTATTAATAATACATTTATTAATATTGACGTGTAAAAAACCGATGCAAAAAATGTATAAAATCTTTATCTTTATCTGTCTTTGTTGTTAAAACTTACTCAAGTAATTTTAATTCAGTAAAAAATATGTAAAAGTATGCTTTATATAAATGCACTTAACAAGACTGTAGTCAGATTTATTAGTTATGTTCGAAAACACACACACACGCACAAAAGTGTGTGTGTTGTAAGCATATCAGATATTAATTAAGTTACTATAGGATGCTGTATTTTCTATTTCCTATTGTTATGAATTTTGTGATTTACTTAAATTTATTGAAAACTAATCGATATATTGAAGAAAGCATCGGACACACGAATTTTACAAATATAGAACAGATTACAAATAAATATTAAAACTTTATAAATACACAAGTGTATTGCTAGTGAAAGTTCCGGACTTTAAATTCTTATATATCAATCACGATTATTCAGAAATATTTACTTTGGAATCTTGTGTATAATTTGCTTATTGACTTACTTCTTTTCTCATAACACTGTCATGTAACTTGCTATAAGAAGTTGTAAGGAAAGGTGTAAGGAAAGGTTATCAGATGAGAGGGTACTAAAAAAACAAACTTCTTTCTTTTTTTAATTTTTTTTTTTTATTTTTATCGCGTTTTATTTCTTTTTTTTTTCGATTTGAAATATTCTTGGATATATAAATGTAATACAAATATAGTTTTACAAAAAAGTAAATTATTTAAAATGATATCGATTGTTTATTAATCTTTAACACACTTCACACTTTTGAATGTGTTAACGATCAAGGAACATGTATGAAATACATGAAGTAAAATCTAAATCTGAAAAATATTTAAAATTTGGAGAGTTTTCCATTTGTTCAATGTTGTTCAAATAAATCTTATTATTGCGAAAATATGACAGAGAGTTTCATAATTAACCGCAATTTTTAATTCTTTTTTTCAATTTCTATAGATGTACGTGATGTGCTTCTTATGTAATAAAACATGCTTTTTCACCCCGATTTTACTTCCTTAAAAAAAAACAACGTATAAAATCATAAAAATATTATAGATTAAGATATATAAATCAATCGTAAATTTTTAGTCAATGATAATTATCGATTATCAGTTTTAATCATTAGTAGATAGCTCTCACAAAAACTTAACAGTCACTAAGCACAGGAAAATTTCTACTAATAATTTATTTAAAAAAAAAAAAAGTAAAAATATAAAATTACTGAAATATTAAAAGATAAAGATAAGATATAATAAAGACATGCGCATATTCAAATGATCAATATAAACTAATTTATTATTAATTCATTGAAATGTTTTAAACGTAAAGGTATCAGAATTTTTGCTGGAAATTATGTATAACTTGTATCACATGGTGTCACAAGATATTTCCAGAGCAAAATTTTCATCATTTTAAAGACAGAGTCTAGCCTTTTGTATTAAATCCGAATTAGAATAAACAAACTTTCAAAATATTTTATTATTCTTTTGTGTTCAGTTTTTGTTTATATTTTTCTTGAAAACATTTCTCTAAAAAAACGATCAATTGAATGTTTTTGAATCGAAGAACATTAGGTTCAACGTAGATTATATAAATCATAAAACATATATACTCCAAAAAATTAGATTTAGATTAAGATATAGATAAAAGTTAAAATATGTATGAGTAAATAATTAAATGTATGTATTAAATCAAAATCTTGCATAAAATGACATTTTGATTAAAGTATAAAGTATGCAATGTACGATTAAAATTCAAATATTAAATTATGAAATTTAAGATATAATATATAATATAAAGAAAAATCTAAACTTGCACAAATCATTCCCTCAATATACGATCCAAACCTAATGTAATTAATAATTATAACAAATTAATTAAATTTGTTATAAGACATTAACTAAGTAGTAAGGTCTAATATTATTTGCAACATCGTATTCGCACACCAGCTATAAAATAGTTAAACGATATGACATTTCATCAACTTCTTCTTAATTAACTTTCAAAGATCTTTGAATATTTCTTTTCAATTCAGTTTTCTTCAGAAATTTTTTCTGAGACTCTCCAAATTTTAATACTGGATGTCTACTACTTGGAAAAAATCACGAAGTTTTCTTGGAATTTTCTAAATAATTGATGTAATATCATCAATTTTTGTTATTTGCCATTTTTCTTTTAGCAATATTCGAAATTTTTCTCACAATTTATGAACATAAATTAGAAAATTTCGCTTACATTTAATCTCTCTACTAGTATCTTTTTGTTATCTAGTAGTATTTCTTTTCATTTAGTATTTTATTCCTTGTCTTCACTTTTTAGTATCTTTTTACTTTATGGCTTTGCTTTATCAAGTTAAAGATTTTTTCCGAGATGTACACATCATTAAAAAAAAGTTTATATTTTGCTTTGGAGATTTTTTGGAATTTTACGCTTATACTATGTTTTTCTAGTACCTAAATAATAAAAATAAACTTTCCTATACATTTTATACATAGGTATAATACACTTTCTTATATGTACGAATTATACATATTTTAAATATTTAAATTAGATTTTGCCCCCACTTACTTGTGCAAGGCGCAGTCTTTTTCGACAAAGTTTTTCACAGCACTGTTTGTAACATTCTTTGGTAGAATATTTATATTTTGTATGAATTCTATCATAAAATGTACAATATTTAATTAATGCAATGCTGTAAATGCTATATATGCTGTATATGACATGATATATACATGAATAGTTGAAGTTTTAAGCTAAATATTATTGAACTAAATTATAATCTGTGTAGATTAATCACATCTACTTAAAAAACAAAAAGAACTGCGCGCACGAGGGAGAAAGTTATTACAATTTTGTATTTGCTTATCAAAATTACACATAGTCATTCAGAGGTCATTATTAGTAGTAATACTAACTCAGTAGTAGCCTATAATACTGATAAAGTGACTGTACGAATGACCATTGAATAATAATAATATTTACATAATCAGTCATGACGTGCGGTAACTTTAGTTTTTTTTTTTTTGTTTTTTTTGTTTTTTTTTTTTTTTTTTTTTTTTGTTACAGAAATTGGTATGTACTGCCATCAGACAAAGTACATTGTCCTATTCGGAATTATGTACATGGCAAGGTTGTACAAAGTTTGTCAATGATTATATCGATTATCAACCATTGGACAAAGTATTCATCATGGTGAGTAAAAAATACATTTGTTAAAATGATAATAAGTTCGGAAAATTATACACATCTAAAGAGATATTCTTCTTTGAAAAAATAAGATTCTTCACTTGTATTAATTTTAATTTTTAAGATCTCGATTAAATCAATATCTCTCAACACATAACACACAGCTACAATTATGTATTATCCTATATTTTCAAAACTATAACTAAAAATCTTTTTGCCTTTTTTTGTTTGTAATTTACACATTAAAGAATACAATTAACCTAATAACCTAATAATCTAACTAACCTAATAATCTAACTAACCTAATAATCTTAAACTAATTATCTATAGTATTTCTAATTATTCATAAATCGCATGTAACTAAACAACTCGCGTAAGTGCAACGGTAAACACACATCAAAAGACAGAGAATCAAATTTTTTCGTACTTTTCTTTCTTGAAATCTGGAACGATACATTTCCAGAGAAAGAGAGAAAAACATCTCTTATTTCATTTCAAAACAAAAACCACTGGATTTTTGCATGTGTAGCCAAATATATCATATACATAAGACTATGTTTATAAGATCTATATTAAAATTCAACCTAATTAAAAATATAAAAGTAAAAAAAAATTGTAAGAGATCGAGGGAGCTCATGTTGTGTCACATCTCATCAATTTTTTACTTCATTAATAAACTAAGAAAACTATGTGATATGCTACAAATATGATACATAAAAAAGATCAATTCCATGACGTACTTGTGTGAGAACGAAGCTTAAGAAACAAGAGAATGGAACTCAATTGAATTTAATTATTTTAGCTTTGCTCACGACTGTACTCACTCTGCAAAATTTATACAAGATATATGTACATGGACAAATTATAAATAAATATATACACAAAATATATACGTCTGTGTGTACGCGTGTGTGGGCACGCACGCACACACAGATATATATACACATATATACATATACATACACACACACACTCACACATATATGTATATACACGCATTCAGTTGTATATATATATTTACAGAGAGACATGCGCATAAGCGCATATGTATGTACACATGTACAGCATATAACACTTTTATACAGCAATTATTTTAATTTTTTACATTTACGCTAAGTCTAAAATTTTTCTGGTTTTCTACGTTGTGTTCTACGCAGCTAGCTTGTATAAATTTCATTTTTTTTTAATTCGTTTTTATCCTTGTGTTCTCGCAATTTTACAAATATGTTACGAACCGTATCTACTTGCGTAAAGGTGAAAATTGGCTGACCATGTCTATCCAGAAAATTGAGCAGTTTCTCTGCACAGTGTACTGCTTCTTCAAGATTAGTACGTTGCGATTCCGGAATATCCGTGATAAATCCGTTTTCATTGGTATTATAAATGGTGTTGTTGTTACCAATTATGTTGTCTAACATAGCAGCTCGTTCGTAAGCGTTATTAGTCGGAATTATTGTATTATAAAGATTTAAAATTTCACTTGTATAGCTACTAGATTGTTGCAGTTGTTGCTGTTGAGCTTGTTGTGCCATCAGATGTCGTACTATATCGTTTATACCTCTTGATTCTCTAGCAGGTCTAACCGGTGTTTGTTCATTGGAAGGACCATTATTCGCAGACGTAGATGCGATGGGAGATGCTCCGCGGCTTCCGGAAGTGCTCGGTTTTTCCATGTCCGGCGACAATCTGTGCTTGTAGGTGGACGCCTTCGATGTGTGAATTTGCGTAGAATGATTGTTTTTCCTTTTATTTTTGGTAGCGCTGTTGTTATTAAGACCATTGATTGTAATGGTATTCGCAAGGTTGGCCGTCATAAACGAGTTAGCTAGTTGAGAAAAACTTTGCATTCCGTTTTCATTTTTCGGAGTAAGTATCGAATGGATTATTTGCATTTGTGAGTTGATCATATCTTTTTGATTCTGCATATGTTGTCGCACAGCGTTGCTGCTGGTAAGATCAGCGGACATGTTCGACAAAGGAAGCATTGATGACACATAATTAGACAAGCTGTTTCTGAAGTTTCCATTGAAATAAGCGGCATGATTTGAAGCCGGACCTGCTGCCATCAGATCTCCAACAGTGGACGTCGCATTATTATCGTATCTTGCACGCTTTACCGTCAATCCACTCGTATCTTCTCGAGACAATTCTCTTTTTGTTGGTCCTGAAGCAGACAAAAGATTATCTGAAGATGGTGATTGCGAGGACGTACTCCTTTCGGATTCCGGCGAACCTATTGGCGAACGTTCGAGGGTGCCTGAGTTTCTTGCTTGGCTGCGTAGTTTTTCCTCGGATTTGCACCATCCCCGTAATGTGGATTCGGGAACTCCCATGTCACGAGCAACCGCTGCTTTTGACTCGCCGTTGTGAACTCTATCAATTGCTGATACTTTTTCTTCCGCCGTTAATGATCTCATAGGACGTTTGCCAGATTGCCGCGGCGTCTCATTGCGCTGGCCGGGTGCGGGCACGGGTACAGGCACGGGCGCGGGCGCGGGCGCGGACGGTGGGAGGCAGCCGGCCTGTTTGAGTCTTAAATCCATTTTGCCCGAACTTGATCAACTAATGATCAATTGTATGTACGGGCACAAAATATCACTATCACTTTAAGACACACACACTCAGTATACGCACTCTCTTTCTTTCTGTTTTTCTTTTAACAAGCTGAGGTAAGGACTAGCACAGAAACGGATGATCTGTACGCCGCGCTGTCAGTGCGGCATGTGACGCCGATTCGTATCTCGCACAGTAGTAAATAATGCTGTGTACTAAACGTGCTTACAACGCCGCAGCCGGTTGGACGAAGTAGTAGTAGTACTCGGTGGTGGAATAGCACATGCGCTCACTGAGAGAGTAATAAAGAACTTTTTTATGAATGAAACAAGTCGGTGGTAACTTCTCTTCTCTTCTCTTCTCTCTCTCTCTCTCTCTTCTACCCCCTCTTTTCAGCATGTACTACAGAGCAGCTGCTGCCCTCCGTGAAGCAAGGTGCTTCTCTTCTTCTTGCCGTCGCTTCTCCTTCCTTCAACTTCTCTCTCTTGATCGGTACTAAAGCGCGAGTAAAGCACAGTCAGTCTGTCCTGACTCCTCTCTTCTCCTCTCTCTGCTCGGTGCACCAGCCAATCCGCACTGCGCGCGGGAAACGATATTATTGCCGTACCACGCGGGATATCGAGGTGTGGGGGTGGTACTGCTAGCGGAACCGAGACAGATACATCTGAAATGAAGATAACGATAGGTACACACGTTCCGGTAAAAGCGGGTGTCTCGTATCTAACGACTGGTGCTCGCCGGCGCGTTTGTTGTTACACAAAGTTATTCCGAGTTGTATTTTCCCCGCGACTGATTTTCTCTAGTTGCCAGCGTGTATTTCCTCCCGGCGTTCTTTTTAGAGAACAAAGATTCGCGCAACGCCGAATGAAGGATGAAATATGAAGAGAGGCATGCGAAAACGCGCGATGCAACGCCGCGTCGCGAGAGAAAACAATACGCCCGGTTAGGCACGCGTGACAAAAAAAAAAAAAAAAAGAGAAGCGAATACATCCGCACGGAGAAATGAGAAGACACGTTCGAGCGTGAAGTGAAATTCTATCACATTCTTTTTTCAAACTGTACTTACATAGATTTTACTGAATGATCTTGAAACTTCCAAAAAGCGATCGTCTCGAAACGTTTCACCACTACCGATGATGAGCGTCGAAGACTGTTCACATAGAAAACTGCTGAGTACTGTATGTGCTCAGCAGTTTGCCGCGGACAGCCGTGGCGTTCAATTGGCGAATTCGTTCACTTCGTTCGGCAATTGATGGCTCGTTTAATATGTTACCGCAATCACAAAAACGTAAAGAGTGATGCTTTGGCTTAGCATCTCTCTGAATGCAATCTCCGGTTGCATTGGCTTAACACACGATTTCGCGCTCAGAACACGAGTTATGAACACTATAAACTTCTCTTCTCGACTGAGTAGCGAGTACGTACGGTCCTCCCGATCTCGCATCGGTCTCGGACTACTCCCCTCCACCGCGTACTGCGCGCGCTGTATGCGCGTCCACTACCTCTACTGTTAGTTCCTCCCCTTTTCTTCCTCTGCGCCGCTTTATTTTGTGCGTATACGCGTGGCTTTATTTTTTTTTCTACTTGCCACCTACGAATTGTTTAGCTCCCCCCCCCATATCTCACGCCTGTAAACGCCCTTCATCATTGTTTTGTTTTTTCTCGTAAAAATTGGTCAAGTTGAGATGGCAAATCAAGTTATTTTTTTTTTTTTTTCAAATTGCAAATGCATCGTTTCTTCAAAAATAGAACTCACATGTTTTAACACACGTGAAAAAGAAAGAGAGAGAAAGCATATTGCAACGATTAATCGTTTTACTGCGAAGAATACGCTGGTACGCTTCTTGTCTTGTGGAAATTATAAGAACCGCTTTCGGTTCTTCTTCGGCTCGTCGTCACAGTCAGTTCGGCATTTTGGCGCCAATCTTTTCCAACTATTACCTGCAGAAAACAACCTACGAGATTGTAGACTGAGTCTGTGAGGACAACACACAAAATCGAATATTTTCGCGAAAAATCAATTATTGGTTCAATTTCTTTTTTTCGTGTCGAAAGTTTTGAACGAGTCTGCGTTGATAAAAAAAACAGATTAAAAAATTCTCGAAGTAATTTCGAAGATATAAACGTTTAAAAAAACTTATTTTTTTTTTTTTTTTATAGAAACGTCGAGGCGCAATTTTGGAATGCGTCTAGAAACACAAGTCCACGGTGCAAAGAGGTGTTCTGCGCACTCAAGGGCGTTCCCAGGGGAAAGGGCAAACCGAGAGGGACATTCGTCCCTCTTTGGATACAATTTCACAGAAAAAAACTTGTCCCTCTCTGGAGAGGCAAGTAGAGAAGTAGGTAAAAGTTTCGAAAATTAAACACGTACTTATCGGAGACTACATACAAGGAGTGACAAAATTGTGAGAAAAATAGTGTAATAATGATATTAAAAGTGTTATTTAAAAATA